AGAAGAAGAAGAAGAAAAAGGAAGAAGAAGAAGAAGAAGAGAATGATAGGAGGGAAGAAACTCCTCGACCACCGCCGGAATTTTGCCCAACGTTCAAGTGACGCCGGCATTCCGCCCGACATTCAAGTGACATCAAAATTCCGCTCAACTTCTAAGTGACGCCGGAATTCCGCCCGAACTCCAAGTGGGGTCGGAATTCTGCCAAAGTGACACCAGAATTTCGCCCGACCTCCAACTGACGCCGAAATTCCGCCTGACCTCCAAGTGAGGTCAGAATTCCGCCCAAACTCCAAGTAACGCCGGAGTACTCCCTGAATATCATCTAACGCCAAAGTTATCATCGGCTACCAACTGACGTTGGACTTCTACCCGACGTCGAATCTCCGCTTGTCTCCGAATTTCTTCCCATCGTTGGACTTCTACCAAATATAGTCCTTCCGACCTTCGTCGCCCGCCGACTATGGTCTTTTTGACTTACGTCGCCCGCCGACTATAGTCCTTCCAACCTCCGTCGCCCACCGACTACGGTTCTTCTGACTTACGTCGCCCACCGACTACAGTCCTTCCAAACTCCGTCGACGCCCGCCGACAATGGTCCTTCCGACTTACGTCGCACACCGACTATAGTCCTTCAGACCAAACAACACATCAGCAGTGATGCTTTGTATTCTCACCATATAATGTACTATATAAGATGTACATCAAGCTAAAGCCTTCCCCTTATGAAGGACCTCATTTGTAATCAACTACAATACTAGTGAATTCATTTATACTAGGCCAGACCCCATGGGTTTTCCCCCTTTTTAGGGGTTTTCTACGTAAAAATCTTGATATCTCATAAATACTACACACCCTCTCTCTTATTTGATTGCGTGCCAGATTTTCGTACAATGCTAAGACGTAAACTTTATATTTCTCTACCGCTGCGAATACTCCAGGACGCAACACATGTCTACCACCCATATAACAAATTTAGGTGTATGGAATGAAATATTAAAGTTTATAAGATGACATAAATTGTGAAAATGAATTATATGAGTGATATATTTGATATTAAAGTTGTATATGAGTGGTATACATGTAATATTAATGTTTTGGATGTTAGATATATAAATAGCATGAAAAAAAGTGATATATATGTAAATTTCCCATAAATAAAACAAGGAATAGCTAAACTCAATAAGACCTATAGTTGTGATCGAACTCTTAACACATTGAAAATAAATTTGAAAATTCAGATGAGTCATATTAGAGCACTCATCCTGCTAAAAAAAATAAATAATAAAAAAGGACTATAGCCCAATAATAATAATAATAATAATAATAATTCTTCATTTAACAAATTCAAATCAGATATTTTATTATTTCCTTGCTAAAACCATCCCACGATCGCAAGTAACCGCTCCCATACGTTCTCTCACGCATGCATAAACGAAAGAAAAGTTCAGAACTAGCCGAAGTTGCTTCCGATCTCTCCCTTTCGCACTAAGCCAGTCGGCTCCAATTGCTGCACCCGACGTTGAAGTCGGCCTTCTTTTCCATCTCCGGCCACACCCGTTCCGGCCCCGCTCCATCTGCCTAACCGATAGTCGACGACCGACGCCCAACGCCGACCCCGCTGGTCGACTCCAACTAGCCGCCAACCTAGCCCTCTTCTCGCGATTGAAGCCGACCCGAACGCAATTCACCGGCTTGCACCCGCATCTCCGGCAAAATCTCGTCGCCGGCCTGTACACGTTGAAGTCGCCGCCGACCAAGCCCCCGAAGCCCGCCGCCTGGTATCCGACCTAGCCCGATCGGGCTCTTCCGATTCTCCTCTCCCTCACTATTACATATGTATAATATTATATATATTAATGATGTCAGTAGGCTGTCGAAATTTTCAGTGAAAGCAGATGACCTAAAACTAAATGAAATATAACCCAATTTGAACTAAAATTAATGAATATAAAAGACATGAATTAAACCTGAATTGGAACATTATACAATGTGTATGATATAATGTTTAAAATGAAATTATAAATTACAAAATTATGAGGCCTAAATTAAATGCAAATGGATATTGATAGAAGAATTATAATGAAAGCATGCTCACGATCAAAAGAACTTGTGATTTGAACAACATGAGCATGCCATAGAGGTAACAGCTTGCCTATAGACATGTATAAGGAGATTGCAATGATGATATCTATGAACAACAACAAATGACTATTATGATAAAACCCTCAAAGGGAGGATGGAGCTTAGCTCTCATGATGAAAATATCGGACGTCTTTGTAAGACTTCTAATGATAATAAGATTGATCAAGCTGATTTTGGAGCAAGATTTGATAATGATTGTGTTAGTTGATAATGATTGTGTTAGTTTATCGCATGATGATGCAACATCAACCAATAATTAGGTTAATGATGTATTTTATGCAAGGGTATGCAAGGGATTCAGTTGAATTCAATAGTTATACTTCTTTTCATTAATCTTTAGCGATAATTATCCTTCATTTTGCAAAAAAAAAAGGCTTATCATTAATGCATAAGGAGAAGAAGCAATGAATTTGTCATGTACTTAACTGATCTATAGGAGATAACAGAATATTCGTAGCAACCAATGCAGTTCATTTACAAGCAAGAACATGATCTTCTAATATCTATTAGATAAACATCCCTTAAAAAAAAAACCCCCTTACAAGCTATAGTAACTGATATGATAAGATTGTATAAATTAAATAACACATCTTCTACGTATTACAACTCAAACATGATTTAGAGTGATGCCACCAGATCCACAACCCTACTTCTACATGCGGACAGAAGGTGACAACCTACAATAATACTAAAAATAACTCCCTGCATGTGCTACAGTCAACGTGTTAAAGTTACAAACACCAATGTCCGAAAATACTGTGCAGGGCCAAATGCTACAACATGCATGTGCTCCAATCGTTACATAATTCACAAATCCAACGATTCGAGAATGCTACATGGGTCAAATACTCAAGTCTTACCCTCCTCAAAAAGATCGGAGTCGACCTAACTTGAATAATAAAATGCCCCCCCCCCCAAATACTTGCATGGGCCTCGACGAGCGTGTTATAAAAACACACGTGACGTCTATGTATGCTACGTGGGTGAACAAGTGAAGTCAACTATGGACCCGATCTTATGTCGGCAAGTTGATAAAATCGACAATGTTTAATCCACAAATGCAAATGCCCATACGTCACCGCGGTGATGGTCGCATTGACGAGAAATCTCAACTGGAGAGGTCAAATCTCAAAGCCAATAAAAATCTAAATCCTTAAAATGAAATATATCACTAACTTGAAACTAAAATTCATCCACATTCCGCAACTGTTTATCGGGGGTGATAAATTTAAAATTAGCCTTAGCTCACAAAGAGCAAAAATTCTGCCGGTTGTATCACTATGATTCATTCTCAAATAGTCTCTTGCCAGCAGGGACATGATACATACCCTATGATCTGGTAATTTTGCCGCAAAATGACACCATTAATATAAAATGATCATGGTCAAAGCCCTTATGTTTCCTAACTACTTTAAACCCTTAAGTAATGAATCATAGGATATATTCGATAAACATAAAGCCCTTTGTCAGCTAAGGTGGATTTAGATCTATCCCCTTTTACAAACACCAACCAAGGTCTATAAGGTATTCTTGGACGAAGTAATTAACCCATGTATATCGATAAGGTACCTTCTGTCAAGTTGGGTCGACTACCTCCTATGACTAAGTAGACCAAGGTACATGATAGCCCGGGACGACATAACCATGGGATCTTGATCGAGCTCGTCTTCATCCCCCCACCAGTTTTAAGTTCATGATGATAAATTCCAAATCATAAAACCAAATTCAAACCCTGAAACTATTGCTATTATACGCTGGATTTATAACCTATGCGATCTCTTTAACGATAAGCCTTAATTGAAAGCTCACTATTATTATCATGAGGGGATTAACTATAGGGCTTGCACATATATCAAACAAGAACTCGGATCATAAAGTCCTCACAAAATGAAGGAGAAATCTCTGGGTAGTGTCTTATCTAAAACCCAATCGGTCTTTTGAAAATTCATCCGGAACCTAAACTCGTTAAAACTCTCCGTTTTCATTACCACAAACAAAAGAAAGGAGACATATATGACGCGGAGCGGCTGGGGAGTGCAATGAAATTTTGGGAGCACACAATAAAAAATTTTTTTTTAAAAAAAAAAAAACTCATAAAAGTTCTAAAGACTGAAATACCTCATAGAATAGGTAGAATAAAAATGCAGATTTCTCAAAATTTCCAGTAAAATTAAAGGCAGAACTTTTATCCAAATAGGTATTAAAGGGTAATTTGGCATAAAATTATAATGAATTTTTTAGATAATATGCTTTTAAATTTCATCTGAAATTTGATTTATACCATCAAATTTATTCGATTTCAATCTGCACTAAATAATAAAGGTTCAAATTTTTTAAGTTTAGTTATTTTCAACAAATTTTGATGCTTTTAATACATAATTATAGAAACAAAAATAAATTAAAAAAACATATAATACTTAAAATATTTTTTAAATTAAAAACGTTAAAAATAACTGAAATCAAATTCCAAAATTAAACTTTTAATTCTAAATTTAAGATTTATTTTCTTCAAAGTATTTCATCAAGTATAATAATATTAATAAAAAAATCATATAACAAGATATGCCAATATAATTTTGAATTTTTTAAAAGTATTTTCATATTAATAAACAATTAATTTAATATTGATTATATGATATATCTATAATAATTATTTTTTTTTACAACTTCTTATGTAATTTATTGGTTGAGCGTTTAGTCTTTCAAATAAAAAGTTGTGAATTTAAACTCTATGTATAACTGTATAAGTTTAAAATTAAATTCGATAAAAATTTAAAAAATATAATTTAATTAACTTGTGGCTTGGGGCTTTAAAGCGTGGGCTGTACTTTTCGTTGCAGGAACGCACGTTTCCATAAAACTCCTCTGCTTATTTTTTCTTTCTTAAATGGTTTAACTCTATAGAGAAATTATTTTATGCGGAGTCCAACGGGAAGAATTATTTGTACTATGAGTGTACATATTATTGATATACAATATGTATATTAATTTGAAACACACTGTGTACAAAATATATACACTTATATGTACAGATAGTTCTTTGAAACATACTGTGTTCAGACGGTTCTTCCCGTTCAGATTCCGCACAGAATAATTTCTCGACTCTACAATATATACTCTCTCCTCTCTCCTACTTAGCAGCAACATTAGAGACAGCAGAGCAGCTGGTAACTTTTTCTTCTACTTCTTCTTCTTCTTCCATATTATTAGAGTGAAGAGTTTCAGCATGGGAGAAGACCAAGAACTGCAGCTCCATATCAGAGGTTGCTGCTTCTCTGTAACATCTATATTTTTTCTGCAACTTCATACATACTCAAGCATTTTCCTCGTTTTTTTCTTGTTAGTAATACTGGCAGGTAATTATATATAATCCGTAGGGGATATTTGGCTACTAATATGATTTAATTCAAGAAGGGTTTAGTAGATATTTGAAATCAAGATGGAGGCTTTCATTTCTGAATTTTTTTTATCAGTATTTGTACGATTTAGGATTTATGAAGGAGAATAAGATGTCTTGACGATTATTATAAGATTTAACAGCCCCATCATGAGAAGTGTAAATCTCTTTAAGGATTATAACCAACTTGCTGTTGCTGGGAGTGTTTCAAGCTAAGAGTTTTGTTCTGAACAATGAGATTTTGAAGTAGTTTAGTTCCACCCATATGAAGATTATGGGGCTGTTAAGCTTTATTACAGGATTTAAGCAGTCGGTAGAACTGACTTTTTCAGTAAAATCAAGGCCGATTTACTAAATCCTGGAGTTGGGCGGATTTATGGGATTTGGCTGAAGAAGCGCGCAAAAGGGAGAACGATAGGTCGATAGTTACCTTCACAGTGAGGGAGCTCCCGTCGCTACGTCCGATCCAACAGGAAGAACGGCGAACTTTCGCGATTCCAATTCGACAGTAAGGAACGTCGTGGAAGAAGGAGGCGAATAAGGATTTAGCAACTCGTTCAAAACCCTACCTCACTCGAAGCAATCGAAGTCCAACAGCAACGAACGCAGAAGAGAAGAAAAAGGAGCAAACCATCAATAATTGATTAGGAATTAATTTAACTAATTTAATTAATATAAATACAAAATTAATTTAATTAGATAATTAATAAAATAAATAATAATTTAATAATTAATATTATAAATAATAAATAGACAACTATTAAAAAGAATAACAGTAGCTATATAATCAGTTAGGCTAAGTAATTATGAATATAAATTAAATTTTAATTTTTATCCTCTTAAATTCTGAATTCCATTGTCACACAATTCATAAGATTTAACAAGATAATTTAATTTTAGCATAAATCAGAATTTACAAGATTTAATAAATCCTACTAAAATTAAATCATGCTTGTTGCCAAACAGCCCCTATATGTTGAGAAATTATTCTGTACAGATACCAGACCGTTCAGAGACGAATCAGAATGTGTCACGTAACCCGGTACACAACGATACATAATCGTTGTATATAGCAAACGGGTGGCATTGCGCGTTCTGATTCGCCTCTGGACGAAGTCCATATCCGCACAAAATAATTTCTTGAATAAAGGGAGTGAGTAGTGGAAGGAGGGAAAGAGGTGGTGCAATGATTTTTATGTAACATTTTTGTTTTTGCTCTCCCATCATCCATCCTCAAGCTTTCTCTTTGCAATTTATCAAAATAACTTATGCAAACAATCTGAAGCAATGCTAGTTTTTTTACTGAATTGATTATTTCAGATATAAGCAATTTATGTTTTGACTTCTGAATGGAAAATTGCTAGTTTTACGGTTTTTTACCTGATCTCCGGCACCACTTTTTCAAAACACAACTAACTTTTTTGTTCCAGAACAAGCAGATCCAGCACGTTCATCCCCAAAGGAGGCAACTTTCGCTCAATCCCAATCTTCCTTCAAGCTAAGAAAATGGCAATGGTGGTTCCTCCTCTTCATCTACAGCTTCTTAATCCTAGCCGGGCAGACTTCCGGGACCCTTCTCGGCCGTTTCTACTTCAAACAGGGCGGTAAGAGCTTGTGGATGGCCACCATCGTTCCATCCTCCGGCTTCCCACTCCTCATCCCCCTCCTCCTCATCCTACGTTCCTCCTCTACCGCCGCCGCGGCCGCCACCGTTTCCCGTCCTTCCATCGCCAAGCTAGCCGCAATCTACATTGGCTTCGGCCTCATCGGCACCGGAGACAACCTCATGTACTCCTACGGCCTCCTTTACCTCCCCGTCTCCACCTTCTCCCTCGTCTGCGCCACACAACTCGCCTTCAATGCCGTCTTTTCTTACTTCCTCAACTCCCAAAAGTTCACTCCATTCATCTTCAACTCCATCATCCTTCTCACCCTAGCGGCCGCTCTCCTCGGCGTTCACTCCGACAGCGGCTCCGCCTCCGACCATAATTACCCGCTTGGATTAGCCCTTACCCTAGCAGCGTCGGCCGTTTTCTCCCTTGTTCTATCCCTCACCCAATTGGTTTTCCAGAAGGTTATAAAGGCCGAGACCTTCACCGTCGTCCTGGAGATGATTCTGTGGACCGGATTAGTCTCTTCGGTTGCGTCGGTGGTCGGACTTTTCGCCGGCGGGGAGTGGAAGATGATTCATGAAGAATTTACAGGATCTGAAAAGGGTAGGGTTTCGTATTTGATGACTTTGATTTGGATTGCAATTTGCTGGCTGTTGTACGGTGTTGGCAATATCGGTTTGATCTTTCTCGTCTCTTCTCTGTTTGCTAATGTGATTGGAACCCTAGGTCTTCCTCTGGTACCAATCTTTGCAGTTATGTTCTTCCATGAAAGGATGGACGGAGTGAAGGCGGTGGCTTTATTGATGGCAATTTTAGGGTTTGTTAATTATGTGTATCAGCATTATCTTGATGATACAAAGGAGAAAAGGGCTGTGACCAGAGATGAACAGCCTTAACTAGCTATGAAAGTGAACATTTTTAGTTCATTTTATTTTTTGTGCATTTGTTTATTTAGTTCATAAATATTTTAAAAATTATAGCAAAGATTATTATATTATTATTTTCATATTAAATTGTGTATTAATCTTATTATTAGTTTTAAATGCTTGATCATTGTGCTATAATATCCCATTTAGCTAATATTATAAATTAAACACTTAAATACTAAAACTAAAAATATTTTATTGTTTCTAAATAAAAGTTATCTTAGGTTTTGCTTGTGATGGTTTTTTTTGCTGCCTCTAAAGCAGCCTTTAAAAATTTTTGTACTAAAAAATTGGTGTAAGAAGCAACAAGAAAGTCATTCCATATTGAACCTCATAGCTCACTAGTTAAAAAAAGAAGAAGAAATTTGTTCCAATTCCAAAAGAAGCCTTAGGGGCTGTTTGGCAACCAGTGAGATTTAACTTTAGTAGGATTTAATAAATCCTATAAATCCGGATTTAGTAAATCCGAAATGTATTAAATCCTAAAAACTATTTGATATGCTAAATGTTAAATCTTGAGAAACTATTTGGTAACATATATCAGGATTTATGGCGGTTAGGGATTTAATTTTAAAGGAGATATTTATGAAATTAAGATCATTGCATAAAACATAATAAAACCAATTTTAGGTCATATAAAATGACCGAAAATTCAATAAAAAGTTAATTACAAACTAACATTGACCAAAATGAGAGTTGAAATATTAAATAAGTTAATTATATTAATATTTAATTACTAATTATATCATTAATTAATCAATTAAGTTAAATTAGATAATTAATTTATGCACTAATTTCACTATTAATTATTTAATTAATTAACTTAATTATTATTTGTTTAAATTATATAAATTAAGTTAATCGATAATAACTTTGAGGCGTTTAGGGTTTGTATTCATCTTTTCTTTTCGTCGTGTTGTTCGGCTTCGTTGATTCGCAGTAAGGTGTAAGATTGGGCGCGTCGCTACTTAGTCCTCCTTCGTGCAGTTATCGACTTCACTTCTTCGGACGACTTTCCCTTCTTATCGGATCGGAATTACACATTTTGATCGGAAGCAAGAACAGGAGCTCGCTGGCATGTGAAAGTAACTTTCTCCCTTTCGCACGCTTCTAATGTTAAATCCCGTTAAATCCACCGAACCGAGGGATTTAGTAAATCCGGGATTTAAGCCGTAAATCCGTAAATCCGAGATTTACAGAATCCCGGGATTTAACGCGCGCACAAAAACGTTTGGCTGGATTTAGCGTAAATCCGACTTAAATCCCATAAATCCGATACCAACAGCCCCTTAGTTTTAATAAGTGGGATGGAATCAATTTGCTATTTGAATTAAATGAAACAAGGAAAACATCATAATCATAGAAAAATAATCAATCATTCAAATGAGCCATAAGAACCAAATAAAAATTAATGAATGCAAAACAATTGAAAAAGAGAATAAGCAAAAGTTGGAATAGTGGCAGATCCAGCCTCAATTTTTCATGGGTGGGCAAAATTTTAATTAATTAAATTAATAATGAAAATTAATAATAATAATAATAATTATTATATTATTATATTATTAATATTAATTAAATAGTAATAATAATAATAAAATATTTTTTAAAAATTTAACAAATATAATGCTATCAAATTTATGAGAGAAAATTTTTATCATTTATCTTTCAATATAATGCTATGCAAACCTTTTATTTTATTTTTTTTTTTTTATTTTTTTGAGATTCTTAGTAATGATAAATGGTTGTTTCTATACTTCAGATGTATCATTTGCTTTTCGGTGTTTTTATCACGAGAGTCCAAATGTTGGCCATGGCAATTCTAAATTGGATTGGTCTTAAATCTTAATCACATTTAGAAATCTCCTAAAACAAAACTCTAACAAAGAATACTTCTACATGTAACCAAACAGTGATCAAAAGAACAAGAAAATAATCGCATGAAAATCCTACTTAATTCAAATCGTACTTGTAACCAAAAAGCGAAACAAAAAATAATTTGGTATTACAGAAAAGAAGTACGAAATAGGGGAAGAGCCAGACCTTGCTTGCGAGTTGCGACTGCAAAGGGGAAGAGCCGGACCTTGCGTGCGAGTTGCAACTGCGAGTCTGCGAAGGCCGAAGAACACTGTGAAAAGTGGATTTTGCGATCTCTCGGCAAATGGGAAGAAGAGGAGAGGGCGAACCGGTGAAGACAAAGCTGTGACCAAACCAAATTTCGCGAAAGGCTGAAAGGGCGGCTAGAATAGGCGGGATGGGCAGACTAATGAAATTAGGGCAAATATATGTTTTTGAGGGGGGGCAAATACCAAAATTACCCTCCTAGTGCTTTTTTTTTTTTTGAGGGTGGGCATTTGCCCACCCTGAGATGAGCGTGGGTCCGCCCATGGTTGGATGAACAATCCAAGCATTTGCACCTTGGCAGTCAAACTGAAGCAGTGATAATACAATGACCTCAAATTTTTTAGCTCAATTTCACAAATTTTACGTAACAAAAAAACAGTTAAATTCTACTTATCATCTAGCCCAAGAAACTGCTTCAATCTCGTCTCTAGCAGACTTGTAAAGTTCAAGTCTCTTTGCACACTGCACTCTCCGCTCCATCAGTGCAGGATCCTCGTCCAGCATTTGTCCAAGCTGCTTACCCTGCATAAGAACAATATCACTACAACAAATAAGCTCAGAGAGAGAGAGAGGAGTGAAATAGAGAGAGAGACATTTTAATTCAATTCAACTTCACGGAGACCTACATGGCGAAATTATTTTGAGCAAACAGCGGACGCAAAGCTACGTCCGGACTTCAATAAAAATATGGCACGTGGACTAGTGTAATATTATGTATTTGTATGACCAATACACACCAATACACAATAATACACTAGTCCACACGTCATATTTTCATTGGAGTCTGAACGTAGAACATCCAGTGTCCGCACGTGATAATTTCTCCCTACAATGACATGTCTCTTTATCCCATAATTTGCTTTATGAAACCAACCTTATTTTTTATTTATATTGTGTTATTTGTGATGCTAAATCTATTCTTCACAAATCATTTCAAATAAATTTAAATCATATTAACTTAGGTATGTCCCTTCTTTATAATTAATCGATTTCAAATCTATCAATTAAATATGTGCATTTTTTTAACATTCATTACACATGTTAAAACCGTCTTAACCTTTATGCTACTCTAATAGTTTCTTTAATTTCTATTTCCTAATTACAGTAATTACATAAATAACACCCAAATTTTGTTCATTACAAAACAAGCACCAAACTACCTCCATTTATAATGTACCCCACAAACCTATTGTTAACCCGAAATTTTGGCCTAAAGTGTAGCATGAATAATAAATACATGAGTTTGTAGTTCATTTTAAAAATTTGTGTGTTAATTTTATGAATAAGAAAGTTTACGGTGGTATGTTCGCAAATCTTCCTTTCTAATTGTCATATGATCTAAACTTTCTCAAATCTACCACACCCATCATAACTATAAGTTTGTCTATTTGAACAAACATTTCTACAATTAAGGTTTCATTTGGAATAATTTTCTTATTGTTTTTCTGAAGCAGTTTTTCAACAAAAAAATTTCTCGTTCAAAAAAAATTTGTACTAAAAAGCTGCTTTAGAAAGTAGTATCAAAGCTGTCCCAAACGAACCTAAGAATTAAATTCAATTAAAAAAGAATTTTGCAACAATTAAAGACTTCTCGAGCATGAAAATTATAGCAGCCTACTAAGAGCTAAATTCTATTAAAATAAATAAATTTTGAGCAAGAAAAACAATGGTTAAGCGAAGGTATAGAACCTCTTTTCTCCCCATTTGTGCGTAAAAAGGATTAAGCAAGGATCTCTTAGCCTCCCGAACTTGGCAATGGACAGTTGCTTTTGGTATGGTGAGTCTAAGTGTTTCTGATACCATCAGAATATAAGCAGAAACATTTGTGGCAATCCTCTTGAAATGCCCATCTGAATATCGATCCACTGGAGGAGCAGCAGGATTGGCTCCCTTCGCTGTAGAGTTTGCAGGATTGTTTCCAATCTCCACTTCATGTGGAAGGTTGCGAAAGAATTCAACAGTTAGATAGGAAGATTCCATGTCAACCAAGCGCAAAACAGTTTTTTTGCTGTCGTCCCGAAATTTTTCTAATGCGACATAGGAAGCAGCTGCTAGTTCTGATTGGAGAGTTGGAAATCTTTTCAGTTCCTGATAGTAGGAAGACAAACTTGTAGTAGTTAATATAAGGGAATAAAGGAGGAACAATGTGGCTCATCTGGAAAAAACTCTATGATCGTCCGAATGGTTGAAAAAAGAATGCAAAGTAAAATAAAATATAAAAATATTTGAAGTTATTTGGATAAATATAAAATAAATACATGCGCTTGTTTTTTTTTAGATTGGTTAAAGTGACATGAATGCAGTTAAAAACCTAATGATGATGGTGGATGTTGAGAAGGACACTACTAGTGAAGGTGGCTTGGTGGTGGTGGCCTTCAGCTGGCAAGCGACATACAACAAATGGTGGCTACGATGGGATGCGGTGGGCAACATCAGAGGTGAGTGGGCAGGGGCAACAACAACAGCTTGTGGTATATTTGGAATTCATCCAAAATTGGGTGAGTTTAAAATATATTAAAAATGAAGTATGAAGTGAACTTAGAATTCACCAAAATTTTACTCTGTATTTATTTTTAATCAAACCAAACACTAATATTCTTGAAACCCTCGCATGTGGAATATTTTACACTCACTTTTCTCAAGAGAAAAAGAACAAGTTGGTCTCATAACTTTTTTTTAAAGGATTAAAATAGTCTTTGACTATATAAAAGTATAAATTTAGCCCCTTGACTCTTTAAATATGAACTAAATTAGTCATTTTGTAGAATTAATTAGGTCCCTATTTAAAAATTCAAGTGACTAAAATAGGATTTTTAAATAATCGTAGATAATTTTGATCTTTTGTAAAGAGTTAGAATGATCATTTTGATCCTTATCTCATTTTCTCAAACCAAATATTCGCTTAGTCAAAATGTTCTTACATACTTTGTATAAAAATGAGGCTAAACGTGCCTTTGATTTGATGAATGATGATTCATGTGTTGCCACTTAATATAACTAAGGTATTAAACATTATAATCCAAATTAAAAGACAAATATATCTAAATTCTTAGACAATGCAACTAAATAATTAGACACTTGCACATACAATCATGATAGAAAAATATGAGATAAAACTAGAAAAACAGTTTTCTAGTTCGACTAGTCTTGAAGATCCTTACCTGAGTCTCACCTATAGATTTCCTAACCAATTCCTTCATGACCAAGTGAACCTGAAAAAAATAATAATCAAAAGAGCGGTTGAGTATTGTGCTCCTTATTATCCTCGTCTCAATGCAAGAGGGGACAAAGAGTTGGAAAGTATGAGTTAAGATGGCTCACAGCATCGACAGAAGCTTCAGCAGGGCCTCTGAAGTAATTGAGAGCTCCTTCAATGAGCCGACGATAACCTTGCTCAGGAGCAATCAGATGGGGCTGATAACCATCTGCTTCTGAGACCACTTTCCTCACATTTTGCAAAGAGAGATGCCTGTCAAATGGAAGTTTCTTCAAAGCAGCAGGAAGCTGATTGTCAAAAACTCCATAGATTCTATCACCACCGGGCCGCCTGTAGATAATAAGGTGCAAAGTCTAGAAGTGAGGTTTAAGAATACCATATACTAGTACATCTTAAACTAAACGAAATGACAATTGTGACAGCAATAAATTGATTCTAGGAAATAAATCAATGGTCAATTGGTGGAACTTGAGGGGATTCGAGCACAAGAGGCTAACACTAGTCAGGATTCGAGGAACAATGGCAGCAAAATAGCTCTTGATCATATGCCATAGAATAGCCTTTGAACTTGCTGTAGATTTATAGAAAGTGGACAAAAGACAGAGATAGAGAGAGAAAAAGTAGGCCTGAAGAGGGAATGCTGAGATAGTGAGAGTGGGCAATCGAAACAGGAGCGAGGGATGTTTTTAATGAGAGCAGTTCTGATTTCAATCCATAAGAATAATATGATTAATTCAATCCAAAGAACCCTTTGCATAAATGAAAAGTCCTACACAAGAACTAAAATATCAAAAAAAAAAAAGGCACAACGACCGTAATGTCTTAATACATGAAATAATGCATTACAAAATATATAAACATGCAACATAAACTAAACAAAAATGTAAAAATAAAGTTTGATGCTCTCAACAGATCAGACCAGAGAAGAACAAAGATGCTCTTGTATCAAATTTTCCCTGCCAAATAACTTTTTTTTCTCAGAGTTTAAATGTTGCAAACATGTTGGAGTTGTCTGTGGAATTTATTCATCCTTTGGTGAAACAAAAACTATTGGTCAAACTCCAAGAATCATGAATTGTTCTGGAGCATTGATGAAGGATGACGCAATTTATCATACTTCTACAATGTCACAATGATATGACTGGTTAGAAAACTTTGCAAAGATGGCAAACTTGCTAGGTCATAAACTTGTTTGTGAAAGGTATCAAAAGAATGAAAGTGGATTGACTAGCTTCAGCTTCCAAAACCCCATTATTCTAGACGAAGATGACGTCAAATCACCTTCAATCGTAGCAAAGGTTAGATAAATAAGATTTGCTTGATGAAGATAGAAGTATTTAAATTGAATCTCTAATTAGAATGATGAGAGCTCCACGTTTAATAACATGGCATCATAGTTCTTAATCATGGGCTCTCTATTGTGGTTGAACTATCCTACTCTTAATTTTTGTGGTTCCGGTAAAATATTTGTACTTTTGTTGGTTTCTTTCTTTTAGAAAATAAAAAGGGAAGTAGTTTTCTCTCTCAGCTCATTGACCTAAAAAGGTAGCTTGCTCGCAAAAAAAAGAAAAAAAAATATCAAGTCGACATATGTAAAATCAATTCATAAAGAGCGAATAGGCAGTTTCCCCTTACCCTCCATCCAGGTGCTCTTTGAATATCTTTTCAAACGCACGGCAAAGCTCCAGTATTGTGTATAATTGAGCCTGAAGAAGCAGAGCTCAATTAATCAACGGAACCACAGAAGCATGAATCATAGTTATTTATATCATGAAACATATGGCAATCAATATGTCTAGTTAAAAAAAAAATGTCTCACCCCTGAATCAACAGCAATAGGTCTGCCGATATGGTTCATCTCCGATTCAAGCTCTTCAACAGTCTTATTTATCAAAGATGTAATGCTTGGAATTCGAGCTCGGATTACAGACTCCAAATGCTGAAAGAATTTACTTGTTAAAAATTGCCAAAAGCAAAGAAATTTAATGATGAATAGTGACAAAAATGAACAGTTTGTGATAATAAAACCTTTGAAAGAAGCTTGGCAAGATATTCTGAACCCATTTTACTGGCTAGATGAGAATAGTCGGGACTATTTTCAAAATACTCTCTTTCTTTTTGTCTGGCAGCTATCATGTCAACACTCTTATTTATATCTGCCTGTGAACGATTAACAACTCCAACCCAAGGATGTTGCAGCTTGTAAGATCTTCCTTCAAGGACCTGGAGAAAAACTTGCACGGATAAGAAACTCCAGAATGAAACAACCAAAGCACAGTATTAGAACATGTTTATATGACCAAAAAATGCAGGAAAAACAACCAACCATAAGTAATTTTCTTTCTATTCAATTTGCAAAATACAATTAGAAAAAATAACTTACATCAAGTGCATTTGTCCCTTTATCCATCAGATCAAGCTTGGTCAAAACTCCAAACGTCCTTTCACCTAACCATTGGTAAATAAGAATAAATAAGGCTGATGAATTGAAAAAGCCTTCATCTGGAAATCACTGTCCCCAATCACGTGCACAATCTCTAAATTTGTTTTTATCAGAACAGGCTTAGCGGTACTGAATATTCTTCATTGATGGGTAGGATTCAAGTATTTTCAATGGTAGAAATGTAGAATTACATCATACCTGAAGGGTCCACTTCCCTAGCAAGTTTGATGGCATCAGAAGTTGCAATATCTTGATTGGCAGGTGATATAGCTAATATAATACTGTTGGGCTGCAAAGAACAAATCCCACTTAGAACACCTAACAGTAATCTAAACAGAAAGATGTACACGCTCCCGATGAAAAGCTTCTATATATATATATATATATATATATATATGATGCCATATGACTATCATTATGCTCACTTATGAGCCACGTATTTGCACTAAACATTTCCGAATAGCCTTTTATTAGGAAAGTATGTAATGAATTGCCTTTATTATTTTGACTGTAAAAAGGCCATGAAAATTATGATGATAAAATGCTTTGTTGAGAACATTACAAAATACTAATTGAAGCATAAGCATACAATTTAAACAGAAAGTGTCATTCCTAGTATAATCATCAAGTTTCATGGAGTCATTCTGAAAGTCAAATACCTTCTCAACATATGAGCGGACCATGTTTTCTATATCCTGAACAATACTGTCAGATTGTCCCTCTGTAAAATAAACATTAATTCAGTTACTTTCGCATGCTTATGTCCATATTAAACTGAAAAACATAGATAACAATATTTGTAATGATGATAGAATTTATGACTACAAGTAGAAGTTACACTGCTATACCTACAGCAACCTTTGTAAGACCAGGTAGATCAATCAGTGTTAGATTGACAACTGCCATGCACAACCAAAGCAAAAATTAGTGTATAAAACATAACGATTACCATCTCGATGCAGAGCATATAAGAGTAAGCAAAAAAGATTATTTAAAATGTTTAAATACAGAATTCACAATATTAAAAAGCTTCTCACAGAGAGAAATTTCTAGCAATGTTGTATAAGGAATATTAAAAAAAAAAGGAGTTAAAAGATCTGCATTCAGCAGGTTACACTATCCTGATCTTGCCACCCATTCAAAAGACTTTATTTTTATGTTCCATCTTTAAATACAGAAAACCTGATATGAGTTGGTGATAACTAAGTGATGCAACAAGAAAACATTCAGTGATTAAATAACTTATTTTGGAATTGATAGCATGATGATCATAAGAATGACATAAAAAACTACTATGTTATGATGGAAGATTTAGTTAATCAATCAAGTCCTAACGTATTTTATTTGAAGTCCCTTAGCTTTAGTTAGAACCAGACTTCACGCTTAAACCTTGCAAAGTTGAAATACTCACGCATGCTTTAACTTCATAAAAATAATTCAAAAAGAAGCAATAGCGGCATTGGAAGGTATATGTCAATAAACATGGATCAAGGAAAAATTATAAAGCTAATTTTCCCTGTTGACATGACCTACGAAGCATACATAATTATTTAAGAGCATAATAGCAATAACTAATATGATGCAAGACTAAATGCAAAAACATGAAACTTGCACAAAATAATTAAAGAGCAATTTTGGATTTTCGTTATTAGCGATTAAAACAATAAAATAAAACTAATAAGTCATCACTTTCGTTTAGGCTAAGCCACACAAGAGACTAAGCGAAATCAAAACATTTAGGAAAATCAAAGCGTTGCATGCGAAGTAGTTTCTAACATAACCTTGGTCTAACAAAGAGATCCAAAAGCGAAGAAGTAACAAACCTACGCTTACTAATGGATGACGATAAGTAAACACAATCTCTTGCTTGAACAATCTCTCTACGAAGTAAGTAGAATGTGAAAGTACACGAGTCAAGGAAGAAGATCACCTTCTTGGAGAAGCGTCGTGCTACACCACGTACCTTCCGATAGTTTCTCCTCCATAGCCTTGGTCAAAACGAATAGTATGTAGTCGGCGGCCTTCTCTATGAACCCATCAATGTTTGAATTCAAGTCGAAGAACGGCAAGTTGAGAAGATCCATGAAAACTTAATCGTCTTACGCAAGGCCGGATTCAAACTCCGGATTGGCCATACATCATAGCAAGAGAAAGAGAGAACATGATAGAAACAAGAGGGAGAGAGATGGCGGTGGGAAGAGAGGCCGACGGCTTGTAGGGGGGAAGGGGCTAGGGTTTGGAAAGAACTAGGTTGAGAGAAGGTAGGAATATTCTAATCTCCAAATCTGAAATTATTTTCAGGTTTTGAGTAGAATTGGAGGGAAAACACTTTGAATTTGGATTTCAAAATAAATGCAATTAAGAACCTTAATGTAGCATTAAAGGAGCGGAGTCCATACAAGGGGCCGGCGGCATGGTGAGAGGGGGGGAGCTAGGGGAAAGGGAGTTAAGTATTTCCTAATCCGCTCCGACAAATTAATAATAAAAATTTCAAATCCGTTCCAATTCAAATTTAAAATTGAAACATCATTGAAACTTTCCTAATTTGGCGCCGGGCAAATTTGGAAACTTTTAACTCTTCCACTTTGAATTTCAAATTTGAAAATACATGGGGTGGAGGCAAAGATGAGCCGGTGATTAACGGAGGGGTGGGGTGGTGGAGGAAGGGGAGGTCGGTGGCTAAAAGGGAGTGCCAGCGGGATGAGGGTGAGGGTTTGGATTTGTGGTTGGGATGATGGTGAGCTTTGGTAGGAGGGGTTATGGGGTGGTGGTGGGTGGTGGGGATGGCCGATGGTGGAAATTGATTAGAAGGGAGGATAGAAAGGAGGAGAACCAAGAGCCACCGGTGGTGACTGTTGGGTATGAAGGGTGGCCTCTCCTAGGCTCCACCAAACTTTTAAACTCTTTCTCAAGCTCTCACATAAGCTTCAAGAACACAATTGCAAGAAAATTTTGATAACCATTCATTAACCTCCAAAGAACAAGATGAAGGCTTTAAATAGCCTCTTACAATGACTTAAAACAAAAGGACTCAAATGCCCTCAAGGGGCTACATGACTCAATCCCTCAAGCAAGGGTAAAAAGGGAAAATGCTGAAATAAAAATACATCAATAAGGAAACAATAATAAAATCAAAAGTACATCAGATAAATCGTGGCCATTGATCTACGGCTACGTCGACGGTAGACTTTCCAACTGATATCCCCATCATAATACCTTTCATATAAAAAAAACTCGACAGACTTATGTATAAAATGTCATTAGCTTAGATGATTTTATAGTTAGAAAGGAAAGTTGAATAAATATCAAATAGAAAAAACAAGAGTCCAAGGAAGGAGATATATTAAAAATAATGATTTCTGAAAGCTACACTATGTTGTGTATTACTTGGGTACTTCCTATATATATATATATATATATATATTCATCCTATTTATACAAGTCTTATTGGATCCTATATTCATAGCTTAGGCCATCATAGGTACACCATTGTGCACATAATTAGAAGGCAATACATTGTATACAAATAACAATAATAAAGTCAAAACAAGAAATGCTTCGTAAGTTCCAAAGAAAGAAACAAGTAGCATGGCATATGATTAAGAAATAAGGAATCATATAATTTGATTTATGCAAAAATACAACCCACAAAAGTTCAATATATGCACAAAACAAACATAGTTTATGATCATAATGTCATAAAATAAACATATCATGATTGATAATATAAATGAATATTACATCATGCAGCATCACCTATGAAAAAGTATAGCATAAAATCTCAAAAACTGTAGAACTCTGTACCATTAGCTGAGTAAATACTAAGATGGATGGGAACAGGAGAAATTTGCTTAGTTTTCCCAGTTATTCTGTCAGTTTCATCGGATATTTCCTTGCGTACGAGGCCTACAAAATATGCATGACGGTTAGAATGATACTCTCATAAAAATTATCTATAAACATAAGCTTTATATTCTGCTCAGTCATGCAAGTATGATTCATCTAAAATTCTAACATGAATTGAATTGAGTCCTTTGTCAAGCCTTTTAACTTTATCATGATAAGATCACTCGGTTTCTTTTCCTAAACGCTCAAAGTCTACCCAAGCATATTTGAAAAAACATCTGAATTTTAATTAGAGAAAGGAAGCAAGTGAACCCACATCAATCTTTTTTACTAGTAATATTAGCCAACCGATGGAGTGGTTTGGGAGCCATTTTGTTGGGAGTGCAGCATTAATCTTTATAAAGAAGTAACTTATGAAACAAGACACGTGTAAAACAATTTGCATACCAGGTATATTGTGTTGAATTAATCCGACCCACTTACCATGACTTGTAAACCAAACCTGATCTCAACTGCTTATAAAGTGGCCATTTTAACATTATATGCTTATAATTCACAATTTAAGCAGGTTTTATATAGCTAGATGCTAAATACTTGTACTCATAAACACACTGATCTTTTTTCATAATCATTGTTAAGCATAAGCATTATTACTTTTGTTAAAAGATAAATATAATTAAATTATCTTTTTAAAAGCAATAGAAAATCCATGATAAGAATATATTCATCAAGAAATATTTAAAATATTGTCATGAAATCTATTTGAGATGATACATACCAATTACCATTTACAAGTTTTTTGTGAAAAAACATTTATAAAAAGAAAAACGTGCTACTCCTGCATTTTGAGTTAGAAATACAAAATGATAGCAACATAGACAAGCCTCATAACCCAACAAAGTTTCCCAACCATAAGACTAAGGCATGAAGAGTGTGTACCATCCACTTGTTTAAAACACTAGCGAAAATTGACAGGAAAAAAATTTAAAAGGAAATAGTTGAAAGAAAGAGCACCAATCTCCTACATGATCTACCAAACTTTTGTTGAGGTTCAATTATTTCTAAAATTTGTCACATTACGGCCAGAAATCAGTCCATTGGAAATGACCAAAAGAAAAGGCTAGGGTACAAGTCAATTATTTGTAATAGCACAGAAAATTCAACACAAACCTCTACAGTGTGTAATATAATTAGAAGACAATGGCAGTGCAATGCCTAGTCGCCTAATATCATTCAAAATGTCTCAAAAATAGATAGTTTGTTTTATTCTGATTCTTCTTGAGTATCTCCCTAAAATAGCACCCAATGCAACACATGGTCAACAGAATAATTATTCCGATGCCAAATAATCAAAACCTTCAATTAATAGAAAGCGCAAACTCTACTTATAAGCAAATTTCCAATGTCATAAGAAAATCATGAAGTAAAAGATAGTCAACGCACTAAAATCAGAGAATCTTCTCTTGGGCAAGTGGAGAAACTCAGCATAATCCGGCTTCCCATCGTCTGTCTTATGCAGCTGTAGCACCAATGGTCGCCTTGTCACAATCCCTACAAACAATCATTGCAACTCCAATCAATCTATCATCCCAATCTTGCCAAAAACACAATCAAAACACAATCGAAACAACACGGAATCAATTTATCAGCCCCGATCTAACCAGATCCACGAGGGAGAAAATCGCGCCCGACGATGCTCTCCAGGACCGACGACTTTCCCGAACTCTGCCACAATCGCCATCAAATCCTCATTAGCCAACCGAAAAAGCATCACAAAACACATTGGAAGATAGAAATGTTGAGTAATGAATGGAATAAGAGGGTACCTGACCACCCACGACGGCGACAGAGGGCAACGCCTCCCATAGAGTCGGCAGAGCGCCTTCGGCACCGCCGTAGTCACCAAGGACAGTGCACGCCCTCTGGATCCGGTTCACCATACCGATCAAGCTCTCCATTGTCGACATCTCCAACAAGCGGAAGCCTACCAGTCGATTCTGAGGAAGACGATCGGGACGAAGAGAGCGTGGGACGGAGAAAACGTCTTTAGCTCGAAGTCGAAAAACAGATTTCGTTAGGGAGTTTTGAGCTAATTTTTTTCATCTGAAATGACAATTCTGCCCATGTGCGATCTGCAGCACGTGTCGGAGGGTATTCTGTGGTGAGCCGACCGGAGGTCGGTACGTGCGAGGAGAATCTAGGCTGGCACATATGTTGATGGGATGTCTTATTCAAATTTGAAGTTCGAATTACTTCTCCCTAACGGCTACTTCCATTTCTATGAAAATCAATATATCTTATTATTCAATTTCATAATTATGATAATAATTTTAAATATTTATTAACTAAATTAAATGTTATCCACAATACTTATTATTTATGAGATATATTAACTAAATATTTAACATATTTAATATTGTAAGACTTTTTTAAACTTCCCCTAATATGATAAATATTCCCTCAAAAAATTTATTATACAAATTTTTTTTTGATAATATTCTATTTAAAACTTGAGTCATAATAGCATTGTTTTTTCTCTCCAATTGTTTATCTATATAGTCTTCATACATATTGTCATTTCATTATCATTTATAACTCTATCTTAATTATTTAAAATTTAACTAAATCAATTATTATATTTCAATTATTCATCCTAAGTATCGTATAATTTATCAAATCTATCAAATTTGATTTTGTTTCGCACCACTCTAAATTCAAGCTCCATTTAGTTTAATCTATTTTTAAATTCTTTGATAACAATTTAATAGGTGAAAATTAACATATGAAATCGTTAGATTAAGAGAATATACTTAAAGAGTGCAAGTAGCAACAACAAAAAGAACTTTTTGTTCCATTATATGAGACCTGTTATATGAATCTTTTTTTTTCTCCATTATATCTTTAATGGGTGATACTTAACCTATGACATAATTAGGTTAAGAGAATGTACCTACAGAGTGCAAGCAGCACCAATAAAAATTATTTTTATTCCATTACGTGAGGTTGATTATTTGAATATTTTTTTTCTCCATTATGTACTATTAATAGTCAACTTTTCATTTAAAACTAATAAAAATGTCATTTTAATATTTTCTAATCATGTTTTTTCATGTCTACTTCTACCTTTCTTAACATAAATTGGATCTAACAAATCTACTCTCCTAACATGATCATTGAATGACCGATGTTTTATGTGATAAAACCATCTAAGTCAGCTCTCTTTAATCTTATTTGTCATTGGAACTATTTTAACCTTTTCAGATGTATATACTCTTTAGCATTCCGTCTCTAATTATAAAACCACTCATTCACATGAACATCCTCATCTTTGCTAAACTTAATTTACTTGTAAGATTCACCATTCCTTAGCCATAAAGATATGTGCCCATGAAAAGGGGATGAAGTGGAACAGAATTGGCCAGATGGTAGAGTCGTAAAAACACTTGTTTCTTCCATCTTTTTGGCCTTAGCTCCACGGAACAATATGATACTGCTGAAACATGGATGAATTAAAATCTTAGATCACTATGTGTTGATGATATGAACTACCTAAACAAATGGCTTTTTAAATAGGAGATTATTCAAGTCAAAATATTCTAATTTAAAATAAAAAAAAACAAATAAAATCTCAAATAATTAAATTTATTTTAAGATAATAAAACACATAAATTTTTTAATTGATCATATATTTCTCTCATCTTAAAATGATCAAATGAATAAAATTCATACAAACTAATTAAAAATATATCCTTACTCAAATTCTCTCCCATCATAAAGCAATTCAAATCCATGAAGAAATAAAAGCCTGAAATTGCATACAACTACTTAGGCAAAATAAATTATTGATTATTTAATTAATAATCAGAATAATACAATTTGTTCATCGTATTTATTCCACAATAATATTAATAAAGCTAATTGCTGTTTGTACTTGAAACAAAAGGTAAACAAACGGCCTCGTATTTCTTCAAGACTGTTTACATTTTTAGATAGAACAAACGCCGCCTGACTTCGCTTCAGCGTTCCTTTGAAATAACCTGTAAAAAGAAATAGAAAACTTCTCCCCATCAGACGGATCTTAAATCACATGCATAAATCAGGTACATGAATGCATTTTCATGGCGGAAAAGTTTGCTGTAGTTAAAGCTCAATGACACAACTCTCCTTGGCCTATTGGTTGAGAGCTTAAGCTTCCCACTAAGAGGTTCAAGGTTCGAGTCTATGTGTATGCGTTGTGTGTGAGTTTGCCTTAAATGGCCTAAATGTCCCAAAAAAAAAAGCTCAATGCAGTGAAATTCTAGCTGTCATTGGTTTAATTTAATTTGGCGGCCTAAAAATACTGAGATTTTCATGCTACACTTGGCTAGCAATTACTAGGGGTTTGAAAACTGCGGATGAACTGCACAAAAGAAACATTCTGATCCCTATAATCTGCAGTTTATGCCATAATTATGCTAAAAGCATTGCACGTCTTTGTTTTTGAATGTCCCTATTCATTTGCTATCCTCTCCGAACTAATTCCTGGCACTAAGGGTTTGCTTCTTAGACCCACTATTCATCAGTTATTTGAATGGATTGATGGTGAGCATACTACAAACCTGGAGGAAAAAACTTTTTATTTCTCATTTCTTGTTGTTGTGTTTACTATATTGAACTCCAGGAGGTTTGGGAATAAATCTAGCAGCAGCATCACTACTGCTTTATGCATTAAAAAAATAGTTTTTGAGAAAATTATCAAGGGGAGGAATTCTTCAAAATATATGGATATGTTATTGCTGGGTAGCTGGGAGCTGGGTGCCGGTTTTTTTTTTGGGACATTTAGGCCATTTAAGGCAAACTCACACACACAACGCATACACAGAGACTCGAACCTTAGACCTCTTAGTTGGAAGCCTTAGCTCTCAACCAATAGGCCAAAGAGAGTTGTGTGGGTGCCGGTTTCAGTGTCTGATTTTCTATGGTTGCTGTTTTTGATTTGCTGGTTCAGGGACTTTTTTTCTGCTGTCCCGTGCTAACTGGGCTTTATGTCATTTTGGGCACGGATTTGCTTATCTGCGAAGTTTCCGGTTAGGTTTTCCGGAGTTGATGTTGGTGCTATGGGCTGTTGACTACTGGATTTTCTGGAGGTTTTGTCATGCTTGTGACAACGATGAGGCTCCTACTTACATCCTTCATGCTACCCTCTGAAAGGTCTTCGGGCAACCGAGGGTCTTAGATTTATTGTGATGAGTACTTATTTTACCCTGAGTCCAGGCTTTTCTGGGCATTGGAGCTCTTGTTTTTTGATGTAATTCTGTTTTAATAGTGCTTTTTTTTTGTTCTTTTTGAGCTCTCCTCTTTTTTCGTTTGAGGCAGCTTTGGTATACCCAATGTAACATTTTTTTACTCTTTTATATACGGGCTAAGCCCAAATTTTCAAAAAAAAAAAAGTAACAAGATACTATATTTAGCGTACTAAGCTCATGAAGCAGCAAATGAGCAAGTTTTTTTTAAAGAAAATTTGAGTGCCAAAAGACAGCTTTGACAATAATTTTCAAAAGTTGGCAGCTAAGTATTCATTTGGGACAGCTTATAAACTGTTTTTAAAGCAGATTTTTAATACAATAATTTTTTGAACTAAAAAAATTTATACTATAAAGTTGACCGCACGTAGTGGGACAAAAGCTTGATGTTGTTGTTCTTGTTGTAGAAAGCTGGTTTAAAAAGAAAGATGTCCCAAACAAAACCTTAGTGAGATAATATTCATGAATGGATTAAGGTTTACAACAAAATCTGGTCGCAATGTTTGTAAGGGTAAGAGTGTGCCTTGCATTCTTATTAAGTGAAAAGGAATTATATATATATTATTTAGCACGAGACAAAATGAACTCTTAATGAGCTTGACTAAAAGAAAGTGATATAATAATGTGGGCTCCGAAAATTCGGCCCCGGCCTCCGCTCGCTCTTCTTATTCGACGAGGGAGTTTTAACGAACTAAGTTCCGAGGTAAATTTTGGAAGGCAGATGGGTTTGTAGATAAGACACTACCCAGAGATTTCGCCCTCATTTTGTGAGGACTTTATGATCTGAGTTCTGGTTTCCTATAGGCGAAAGCCCCTAGGTATGTTCTATTATACATTTTTTATTTTCTTTTAGCTTTGATCCGGAGGTCAACAAATAATACCATAACACATATAACCTCATCATCCAAAATAAGCTTACTCATAAGACAAACTGTCAAACAATCTCTTCAGCTAAGTTTCCATTCTAATTACAACTTTACAATGAGAAATCGAATATAGTGTATGTAAAACAAAATAGCACAGAACTATAAAATGAACATTAAAAATATGTTGCAAATGAACATTAAAATATGTTGCAACCATTAAATAAGCATTTTTTTAACAAAACGTTTAAAAAGAAATGAACATAAATGAGTCAATGAAATCCAATCATAAGACTTATACAATCGCATATTTTAATTTATGTATGTTTGAGAATAATAAGACTTATTCAATCACAATGAAGAAAAATAATTCATATAGCTGATCTCATGTAGTGGGATAAAGGCTTGATGTTGTTCCTATTGTTATTGTTGTTGTTGAGAATAAACTTAATTTTCTGAATATAACTCAGGGGAAAGGCCACAAATAGTACTAAGTCACCTAATCTACTCGCTTAATTTTTTATTTTACAACTTTGTCCAACCGGATGGTTGAAAAAAGTGTGAAGGAAACCCATGGATTGGCATCAAGTATCAACAACTGGTCCCAAATAGAATCAGCTCCTGGAATTTTGGTCTTTTAATACTTGGATGTGGATCCAGTTCTCAGCATTTGGAGGACAGATTCCTAGATCCGGGTAAAACCTAATTGAATCGAGTAAAAAAGATCCAATCCACAGTAAATAAAGCATTAATGATACTTCTTAAGAGCATGTGAACCTTATCATTGGATGCATGCATGATGGGCTCAATAGTTAAGATCTATGTTGCACCGATACGGATACAATGACACGATACGGATACGGGACACGTCAATTCCTAAAAATATAGGATACGGGTACAACGCGGATGTTGACCTTGATTTTGCCAATTCCCTGGGCCCAATGGATTAAGTTGACCAGGTCAACCTTTGACCTGGTCAACCTAACCCTTAATGGGTCAATTTTGACCCATTGGGTTCATTAAGGGCCCAAATCGAATTCAAATCCAAATCAATCTTCTAATGACCAAATAACTCTTCCCCCTTTGACCTATTTGACTGGGTTGACCAGGTTGACCATTGACTTGGTCAACCCAAGTCTTAAATAGGTCATAAAAATCTATTTAAGTGGATTTAAGGCATCTTTATTGCATTTAAAGCCCCATGGACGTTTTAAAATTCAAACCACGGTCAATTAAGCCTGGTTTCCCTCCAAATGATCTCTAGATTTGATCCCCACCGTCCATGATAGGGATAGGCCTCTTAAATACCAAAAATTTTGTCTAATTTAAGATCTTTTTCAAAATTCTCTGAATCTAAGCCTCCAAACCCTCTGAGATTTCGTGTGAGCACTCTTGGAGAGTTTCCCCATCTTCCCTGACTAGATCCCGGCATCCTAGGCTCGCCGGCGGCGAGAACTCCGGCGAAACCGAAGCCAAGAAGCTTTCGGGACTCCTACCGCTCGATCCAAGGAGATTCGGAGCTCGAGGTCAAGAGAAGAAACTCCTGCAGCTTTCACGAGTCCAACGAGCCCAAGAACGTGAAAATCCGACTGTTAGATCTCTCAAAAACTCTTAGAATAGATCACATAGCTTCGGGTTAAATAGCTTTTCGAAAAGCTGATTATTTGCTAAACAAACACTTCCCCATGAATGCTCTTCATGTATAGAGCCTACGTTTCAAATTTCATCGAGTTTCGTTGAGTATTTTGGGAGAACGAGGCAAAAAACCATTCTAGGATTTCGTCTCTTTCCTTTTGAACTGTACGAAATCGCAACCGTTGATCTTTAGATCAACCGCTGTGATCTCGTTGTTTTGTGTTTGGACCAAACAGCGGATCCTGCTATGTGCCTACGTGGATAAGTGGCACTGATTGCGACAATCATTGTCGCAATCATTGGAGGACGCCACGTGTCGCGCCGAGAGCTTTTCTGGATTTTCTTTTATTTTAAATACTTTTTTAACTGTTTTCATTCGAAAAATCATAATAAATTCATTTTTGATCCGTTTTCGACGCACAATACCTCATTTTGTTCGTATTTTTGTCCCCGATATTTTAAAATTAATTTTATTTAAAAATACCTTATATTTATTTAATTATTTAAGAAACAATAAAAATACTATTTTTAAAAAATATTATTTTTATTATTTTATTACTATTATATTATAATATTATTATTTTAATTATAATATTAATAATTATATTATATTAGATCATTTTTGTTACTTTTTAGTATTTTCATTATTATTATTATTATTATGACATTTACTAAAAAAATGTACTTTATAATAATTAAATATTATTTTAATCATTGTAATTAATAAAATATCATTAATAATTAAAATATTATTATAGTATATTATTTAAATTACTTTAAATTTCAGAAATATCAAATTATTTTTTTATTTTATTTTTAATGATTATTTGAAATATTATTATCTTAAATTATTTTAAATCCATTTATTGTATTTAAACTTCTAAAATTCATAACTTTCTTGTTTTAAATGGATTTTGACGTGCAACCCCTCGATCTTTTCAGAAAATTATAAACTTTATTTTAGAATTATTCTTAGATATTAATACTTACTGTCTGGACAGATTTCTATCTTAGATTGCTATTTTGAGTATTTTTCCAATTATTTAAATATTTATCATTATAATTATTTTCGAATTAAAATTATTTTCAAATCATTTTGAAGAATTCGTCAGGGTGGTCAGTGGATCCCTAATTTTCATAAGTGGATCCCCTGACCACCCTGACGAATCTTCAAAATGATTTGAAAATAATTTTAATTTGAAAAATAATTATAATGATAAATATTTAAAAAATAGAAAAAATATTCAAAATAGCAATCTAAGACAGAAATCTGTCCAGATACTAAGTAGTAATATCTAAGAATAATTCTAAAATAAAGTTTATAATTTTCTGAGAAGATCGAGGCGTTGCACGCCAAAATCCGATTTAAAATAAGAAAGTTATGAATTTTAGAAGTTTAAATACAATAAATGGATTTAAAAATAATTTAAGATAAATAATATTAAAAATAATCATTAAAAATAGAATAAAATAATAATTTGATATTTTCTGAAATTAAAAGTAATTTAAAATATATACTAGTAATAATATTAAAATTATTAATAATATTATAAATTATTAAATAATTAAGATAATATTTAATTATTAAAAAATATAATATTTTATATTAAATAAAATATAATAACAATCATAAAAATCATAATAAATACAAAAAATAATAACAAAAAAAAATGACTTAAACATAATTGGATTATTAATATTATAATTAAAATAATAATATTATAATATAATAGTAATAAAATAATTAAAATAATATTTTTTAAAAATAGTATTTTTATTGTTTCTTAAATAATTAAATAAATACAAGCTATTTTTAAATAAAATGAATTTTAAAATAACGGGGACGAAAATACGAACAAAAAGAGGTATTGTGCGTCGAAAACGGATCAAAAACGAATTTATTATGATTTTTCGAATGAAAACAGTTAAAAAAAGTATTTAAAATAAAAGAAAATTTCAGAAAAGCTCTCGGCGCGACACATGGCGTCCTCCAATGATTGTGACAATGATTGTTGCAATAAGTGCCACTTATCCATGTAGGCACACAGCAGGATCCGCTGTTTGGTCCAAACACAAAACAGCGAGATCATAGCCGTTGATCTAAAAATCAACGGTTGCGATTTCGTACAGTTCAAAAGGAAAGAGACGAAACCCTAGAATGGTTTTTTGCCTCGTTCTCCTAAAATACTCAACGAAACGCGATGAAATTTGAAACGTAGGCTCTATACATGAAGAACATTCATGGGGAAGTGTTTGTTTAGCAAATAATCAGCTTTTCGAAAAGCTATTTAACCCGAAGCTATGTGATCTATTCTAAGGGTTTTTGAGAGATCTAACAGTCGGATTTTCACGTTCTTGGGCTCGTTGGACTCGTGAAAGCTGCAGGAGTTTCTTCTCTTGACCTCGAGCTCCGAATCTCCTTGGATCGAGCGGTAGGAGTCCCGAAAGCTTCTTGGCTTCGGTTTCGCCGGAGTTCTCGCCGCCGGCGAGCCTAGGATGCCGGGATCTAGTCAGGGAAGATGGGGAAACTCTCCAAGAGTGCTCACACGAAATCTCAGAGGGTTTGGAGGCTTAGATTCAGAGAATTTTGAAAAAGATCTTAAATTAGACAAAATTTTTGGTATTTAAGAGGCCTATCCCTATCATGGACGGTGGGGATCAAATCTAGAGATCATTTGGAGGGAAACCAGGCTTAATTGACCGTGGTTTGAATTTTAAAACGTCCATGGGGCTTTAAATGTAATAAAGATGCCTTAAATTCACTTAAATAGGTGATTATGACCTATTTAAGACTTGGGTTGACCAAATCAATGGTCAACCTGATCAACCTGGTCAACCCAGTCAAATAGGTCAAAGGGGGGAGAGTTATTGGGCCATTAGAAGATTGATTTGGATTTGAATTCGATTTGAGCCCTTAATGGGCCCAATGGGTCAAAATTGACCCATTAAGGGTTGGGTTGACCAGGTCAAAGGTTGACTTGGTCAACTTAATCCATTGGGCCCAGGAAATTGGCAAAATCAAGGTCAACAGCGGACATGACATTATAATTTATAAATCATACATAAAAATTAAGAAATCAATCAAAGCATAATATTTGAAATTACAAAAAAAGTAACATCATTTGTAGCCTTGTAGCTTATAATATGAAAATAAAAGTAAGCATTAAGTGTCTAGTACAATAACAAAAGCATAAACATAAATTGTCTAGCACATGAAGTTTCAACTATTCAATAGAAGGAATGATATGATTAGCTTCTTCAGCGGTTTGTCTTTGAACTTCCATATCATCTTCAATAAATATCATAGCTTCTAATTTAGGCTTATCAAGAGAAAGATTAGCAATTTCTAATATTCTCATGTCATCAAGAGAGACTCAAATCCATCTCGAAAATGAGAGAACCTCACTAGCAGCTGCGAAAGTAAATACGACGGGTCTTTTTTTTCGGATTTTTTTTTTTGTTTTTCAACGGACACGCGTATTCCCCTTTTGAAATTAAATAGTATTTTAATTGGAAATGGCAAAGCCGTATCCGACACGTATCAGTGTCGTATCGGAGGCATATTTGTGCATCGATGTATCGAATACAGCATGCCTTCATAAATAGGTGTATCGGTGCAACATAGGTTAAGATAAAAGCAAATATATCATATACACCTATAAGGCTCAAAGTTTAGCCTAGTGGCCCTAGTCTGCCTTACATATATATACAAACATCAATCCAGAACCAAATCTAATCTATAGAAAATGCTGATTTTCAAGAGAATCACGTCTGCGTATTACCAAATCATCCAAGTGAACATTATACTTACCTCATGTATGACAGGAAATGCATATGTCTCCCATTCAGTAGACCAACTTGAAGAGGATCCAGTAGCCAAAGCCCCATCCTGCAATGCCTTCAAGGCATCACATTTATCTGGAAAACCTTCGAAAAGCATCTGTGTTGAATTCAGAAGAACACATTGAGTTTTAGATTATAAAGTTTAGTAAAGAGAACTCACCATTACAAACATAGACACGGTATTTAGCATTCCCTACAAATTCCATGTCTTGAAACAAAAATCACGAAACAAGTTATCAGGAAGCTTCATCTGGTTCTATATTTTAATGATGTTTGAGCCTATTTCATCTACTAATAAGAACAAATAGTGAAGCCATTTGTATAAAGTGAGAATGGTATTTCAATTTCCTTCCATAACTTCATTTCTTTCACTAAAATCAACTTGACTTTTTATTCTAAAGAAAGTTGGCTCCAGCATAAATAGTAATAAATGTCCACAATAATTATAAAGGATAAGCAATAAATTTGTATTATATATCTGATGCTAAAATGAAACCTATCAACTCACCATAAGTTGATTAGCAAGTTCAGATGATGATGAGAAGAGAAGGCCATTTTCCCCATCTTTAACGAGTTCTTTAATGCTTCAAATATCACATTGTTATGCATTAGCACCATAGCGAGCTTATTTAATAATGGAAGAAATATAGATTAATCCAAAGGAAGAAGTCAATTTGTAGAACATACCAAGAATAGGAAACCGCACAAACAGGTAGCCCACTTCCAAACATGTCAACAATCTGACAGAGAAACATTTTCGTCAACTTTGAAAATGGGAGGGAGAAAAGTTAACTGATTGCAATCTAATACTAACTACAATGATACACCTTCATGGGAAGATCCAAGCCCGATGAAGATTTGTGAAGGCTCACACCAAGATCTGCTGATCCTACATTTAAATATAACATAAGAGGATAATCTTAGTTGCATCTTACAGGTCTAGCTTCTAGAAGAGAAAATTTGATGCTATACCAAGTAACAACGGATATTCTTCTGCAGGAAGCCACATTGTTCGAAAGGCCACACGCCTTAGTTTTAATTTCTTCATCTTTTCCTCGTACTTCTTTTTATCTGGTCCTTTACCTTCAACATTTTAAGACGTTCATGGTGTAAATAACTATAATCATTGATCATAACGAATCATATATGATTGTCTGCACCAAAATATTAAATGCCATACCGGTGATGATAAGTAGCAATCTTGGATAGAAATACTTTTTTCCTTTGCTTAAATCGGTCCAGAGTTTCTCTTCATCAATTGAATCATCCTCATTTAAGGCAGCAGCAACACGCCTATCATACATGACTGCTGCTTCCAGAAGCACGTTAAAATCTTCATCTGAAGTCCTAAAGCACGCGAAGATGAAAATAAGATTGTCAACATAGGTTATGAAATCTTTGAAGAAAGCATATTATTAATTTTCAAGGGCTCTAATTAATTAGAAAGCTTCAAGAAAATAGAAAAAAAAAATTTCTCATAGAAAAAAAAAAGATTCCAGATCTAAAAATCCAGTTTAGAATCATGATAAAGTTCAAGAAAACAAGAATGAGACTACATGACAAATATTTTGATCAAGAAAAGTGCACTATTGAAAAAATGTGATAGAAAGTGAATGTAATTTTCACAAAAATCAACGGATGCAATATGAAAAATTAGGAAGAAGAATGCTAATTTTTTTTTTTTTTTTTATTGAAAGAATTATAAAGAGAAATGCAAGATACAATTGGATCTTCAATTGGAGAGGAAGATCCGGCTCTCCCAAATCCCTAGTCACCAGCTAGAGCCCAAATAATTTAAGAATAAACTAAATTCAACAAACTCCAAAACATAATACAAAAATCACCCTATTATTAGCCTTAAATAGGCTCCCATAATTCTCACCCAAATCAGCCCCGTTTACCTAAATAATTCCCTCTTAGATTTAAATTCAAACTAGACTTATTTCCCTAATTAATTACCTCACAATTGTAATTAAAACTCTCCTAGCCACTTAATTCCTTGATGAGGACATCAGAGATCTACGGCTACGATCATGCCTATTTATTTTGATCTATTTTATGTATTTAATTTGTTATTGTTCTTTTTCCCTTTCTACCCTCACTTGAGGGCTTTGTCTTATGTATGCCCTAGGGGCAATAATGTCTTTGTTATTTCCCTTCATGTATTTGACTATTTAAAGCCTCCCTCTTCTCCTTAGAGGAAGGGATGAATACTATGAAAATTTTCTTGCACTTATGTGTTTTGAGAGAGTTTGAGAGTTCTTGGAGAGAGCTTTGGAGAAATCCCTAGGGAGGGAAAACGGATCACCCACCAACCTTGGAGACGGTCGGGTTCGTGGTTTGTTTTATCGTTCTTTCCTTTCAATTTTTCTTCCTCCTAGCCGTCGGATCTCCTACCACCCCACCTTGCCACCTGCCAACGGCTTCCTCCACCACCACCTCAAGCCACCACCCTCCTTTCCCCACTACACCCGCCGGCCTTAACCCCTCCTTTTCCTTCAAACCTCCTCTAAGGAAAGGATTGAAGACTTGCCTAATTTAGAACATCTTAAATTTGGAAAGACTTCAATTTTCAAATTCAAATAAATTTGAATTTGAATTCTTTCCTAAAATAAGATTAATCTAATTTGGACACTTTCCAAATCTCTTGAAATCTGAATTTAATTGGAGATTCCCTTTAATTCTCTTCCCTTATTTAAATATCCTATGTTTGGAAAGAGATTTAAAGCCCAATCAATTTTCCCCCATGCATGGCCGGCCCCCCTTCTATCTAATTAATTCAATCAATTAATTAGATACTTGCCTATAATCCTCTTTCCTTAGTTAACATTCTAAGTTTGGAAAGAGATCTTAAATTTCCCCCATACATGGCCGGCCCACCACCTCTCTCCAATTCAATTAACCCCAATAATTACTCCTATTATTTCCCCATCCAATCCCAACCTAATTAGCAGCCCTCTCACAAGCCATCTCCCACGTCACTTCCTTTTTTCATAGAGATTTCTGCTGCTGTCCACGTATTCCAGCAAGTTTGACTTGCTGTCCTGCACCCCTGAAGGCCATAGACTGATGTCCATAACTCACAACATTTTATAGAAGCTATCCACATATTTCTCCTCCTCCTCCTTGACGATCTCATGCATCCATTAGGGGAGATCACTGGAATTCCCTCCTCCAGGTTGCTGTCCAGTTTCCTGGATTGGTTCCATAAGCTATCCCAGGGATAGGAGTTGTGATAACTGCTGTCCTGAGCCTACAGGTTGTTGTCTACAAATTCCCAGTTGCTGTCCAGTTTTTTCCCAAGTGTCAAACTGCTGTCCAGGATCTTCTCAAGACCACCTATCTGCTGTCAAGAAATTCCCGCAACAATTCGCTGCTGTCCAGCCCCTCTGGGAGCGACTGTTGCTGCCAGGAACTGTCCGGAATCGCTGTCCCAGGTTGGCTACTTGCTGTCCAAAGGTTCGAGCGTGGATTTGTTATTGTCCGAGCCATCAAGACGCCACCAACTGCTGTCCAAGTTTGCGAGAAGGTTGAATCTTAGCAAATGGTGAACTCTTTCCTTCTCTCTTACCTCCTTCGTTGATCCTCGCTTGTGGTTTTATTTGATTCATGCAAAATCTTGCCAAGCTCTGCTAAAAGCTTGGTATTTAGTAGGAATTGTTTGAGAGATCTTTCATAGCACCACTCTTATTGTTAGATTAGGGATTTCTTGTTGAAACTCATCTCATGTGCAACGTCAAGAGTAATTGATTATTATGGAGTTTTTACTTTTCACGAGTAACTTGGCCTAAGCTTGTGTTTACTGCTCTTTGGTTTTATTTCATTGTTTGAATCATCATAAAGCTTTAATTAATTAACTATTACTCAATAAGCGTGTAAAATCCTTATCAAAATCAAATTTTCATATATGTTCTGCATCATTCCTCATTTTTCCTAAATAATTTACTCTTAGATTTTGAATTCAAATTAGATCTCTAACCCTAAATAATTCCCTCCCATTGTAATTAAAATATTCCTAAACATTAAGAACCTTCCTAAACAGCTACCTCTTGATAAGGAAACTTCATAATTCCCTCCCAATCAAATCAACCAGTCCATCAAAATGATAAAGAAATAGTTTAATGTAATTCAGATAAATGCATTTTATAAAAGCATTTTTCGAGATGCATTAACAAATGTCACTGAACAAAGGCTTACCAGCTGGTACTGCTCACAATAAGTGCAGGCCTGCTTGACTTCAAGGAAACATTATCACCATACTGGGTACTAAAAAGAGTATCTGATGGATCGTTGCTTTTCTTTCCTACAAAATGTTAGAAACTAGCATTCACATTTATAACCTAAATAAATTTATCTGGCTATAAAACTGAGTTACTTGACTATCACAATACCAGTGCTAAAACAATCATGAAAGTTATCTGGGTCACATATACGCTTATCTAAGCTGCAAAACAACTAAGACATTTTGAATGTCAACTCATAAATCTTTGCGCAAGTACCAAAAATCTGCAAGGAAAGAAATTGCAATTCACCTTATGACTTTCCTTCAGGGCAGCAGGATGGAAAAATTGGGTAGGTTTGTCGTAGAGAACTGAAGCCCTAATATGAAGAAAAAACATATATATATATATAATAAACAATCCAAACACTTGTTATGCCTGTTCAGTGAACAAGGATTTGGTTTAAAACACTCACTTGACTCCCCAATTCTGCGCAAGCCATTGCTGCATGGACTCCGTAACGCATAAAGAGCTATTAGCTGTCCTCCCAAAATATTTCTCAAACCTAGAAGTCCATATGGCATTACATTTTAATAATAAAGTTAAGGGAGGGTATGTGAAAATATACAAGTCATTAAAGTCAGCAATTACCATTTGTAAAGTTTAACTATAATATGGCTACTACCATGTGACATCCCAAGTAAAGTATATCCAGTGTTGTGCCAATCTATCACAAACCCACACCGTCCAAGCCAAAGCCAACTAGACAATTTGACGGCAGCTAAAGTCGGAACAGATGGTGGATTCTGCAAACACAACAGCTTAAATAAAGGTGAACATCAAGCAAAACATATATAGCAAATTCCACATTGATTAACCTAAAAAATATTATAAAATCATAAGAAAAGTAAATTTATTATATTAACTAATACTGCACTAGTATAGACTAGCTACAAGAGGAGCACTAGATAGGAACATACAATCAGTTTAACAATTAATAGCAGGAATAATATCAATAATAGGGAGAATCATTTTGAATTTTCTAGTTCCCTGGAAGGGAAAACAGATAAGCTGCGGAACAAGAAGGTTAACAGCATAGGTTAAGAAGAAGATCATGGCAAAGCTACCAAAAGAGAAAATCCAATCGTTCCTAGGTTTCAATTGAAAAGCAGATAGAATGGGAAGATGAAGTAAAGGGCTAACTTGCAAGGTTACACACCTTTAGATGTATTTGCAGTGTAAACCAGTTAAGTTTCAAAGGCAACATTGACTTTTTCACTGCTATCTAATTTTTCAAATGGCTTCCCATATCGCTGCAGCCAATTATTGCAAGCTACAGTTCAACAGTTCTAGCTTTTCTCCTGACTTAGTTGCAGGCTTCTGATTTAGGCAGGGTGCCAGCTTCTGAAAAGGAAGAATCAAGAATGTCATGCCCTTTCAAGTCAATTTCCACTATGAACGTGAAGTTCATTTTAATTGTCACTGAACCAATTCTCGCGAGAGCTAAAATAAATAAAAGTAGTAATACACTAAAAATATTATTTAAAATTACGCAATACGAGACACCTGAACGCAATATATGTAAAAACCATCTTGAAGCAACCGCCTAGGGCGGTTTAGTAGAGTCACACACCTCAAAATTAAAGAGGCATGCGTGCCTCCTTAGAAGCTTGAGGTATCGCCTCAAGAAAAAAAAAAAAAAAATATATATATATATATATATATATATAAAGATTAATACCCTAATAACCTAAACCTACCTAAAATGCATGAATGCAAATGGAGGCCAAGCGAGATTAAGACCATCCAATTCATCATGTGAAGAAGATGCTGGTTTCCCTCTTCCACAAGTAATCTTCTTTCTCCATCAAAATTTTTTCCTTTAAGGATTAAAATTTGTAAACCTTAATTTCTTTAGTTTTACTTAATTTAATCTCTTTGAACAGCTTAGCTAGTTTTTTTATTTCTTTGAATGTTATCATATTTTCATATTTGAATTAAAATGTTCATTCTAGGATTTTGGACAGTGGTTAGAGGCAAGGAGAAATCTACTTCAAGTTATAGAAAGGACTTGGTGTGGAAAAATAAAGTTCAAGTTGACGTTGGAAGAACAGATAAAACATATATATCTCTAAAGTGCAACTATTATGTTAAGATAGTCAAAGGTGGTGTTAGAAAGATGAAGGACCACCTTTCTGTATCTCACAAAAAATGTGGCATGATGTGCCAAAGCACCGAAAATAGTAAAAGAGGAGATTCGATAATATACAGATAATATACAAATAAGTCAACGATGTCAAAGCATTTGACGCAACAATAATTCAATGATAGAATTGATGTCAGCTAATATTATGGGAGTAAGCATAGTTGTTGGGACTCATCATTATCTATCTCTGCCACAAATGTCTAGCAAGGTGGAAGAGGTCTCATAGAATATTACATGGTCAATTTGGATGATGATAGCCAAGGAGAGAGACCATAAGCATCGTAGAAGTATCTCGAGAGATTGTTAGGCAGGCATGCAGACGTGTCTATATAGATATTGGAAGATTTTTCTATGAGAATATTCTTCTATTTAATGTAAGAACATGTCCTTACTATAATATAATTCGTTCCATTGGAGCTTATGATCGAGGATTAAAACCCTTGTACACATATGATTTAAGAACTAAGGTTTTGAAGAAGTTGAGCAATACAAATAAAGCTATTGAAAAATTAAGAGGACTTGGAGCCATATTGGAGTGACTATCATTTCTTATGGATGGTTTGACATTAGGAATAGGAGTATGATTAACATATTGATAAATAATCCCTACAGAATAAATTTCTTGAAGTTTACAGAAGGATTTGATCAGGTGAAGGATGCAAAGTACATTTTTAAATTGCTAAATGAAGTGGTTGAGGAGCTTGGAGAGCACCTCAAAATACATCTTGTGATAGATAATCCAATGCTTGCAAGGCAGTCGGGGCCAAATTAAGGGAAAAGAGAAAAGGTCTATACTGAATACCTTGTATCACATATTATATAGATCTCATTCTTGAAATGCTAAGTGAGTTGCCATAACACATGAATACACTAAACAAAGTCAAGAAGAAGAGCAAATTCATATACAATCATTGTTCCATTTTAGCATATATAAGGAGGTTTTCAAAGAAAGAACTCCCATGGCCTATAGCAACCATATTTTCTATAGCTTACCTTACACTACTAAGCCTATTGGAGGCTAAGCAACCTTTGGAGGCTATATTTACTTGTATTCAGTGGATACAATTTGCAAAAACTAGGAAAGCTAAGCGAAATGAAAATAGAAAATTTTTTTCTGAATGAAACATTCTGGTTAATATGCAATAACAACTAGGCTGTTGTTCAAGCATTGAGGATGGTTGATGCATAGAAGAAGACTGCTATAGGTTTTATATATAATACAATGGATAAAATAAATGAGTTGATTGCCCATAATTTAGGAGGAGATAAGACAAGTTATATAAAAATATGGGATCATGATAAGTGGGAGCTACAACACCATTACCATTTGCATGCTGCAGGCTATTAACCTAATCCTCGGTTACAATGTATGAATAATAAGTCAACAAATCCTCAGATAAAATTAAGTTTGTATCATTGCATAGATAAACTTATTGCTAACTCATCTGAAAGGGCAAGCATTGATATGCAACTTGTACATTTTAGGAATTAGGAAAGTTTCTTTGGACTTTAACAAACAAAAGATACAGTTGCAAGACATTCTCCATATAATTATTTTATTTCTAATATCTTGAGTGAAATAAGATTGTACCCTCCATATTTTAAACTTATCAATTCATATGATACCTATTTTTTCCAACTTTAATTGAGCAATGGATCCAGTTTGGTGTTTACACTCTTAAGCTATAGTGTTTTACTGTTAAAATTTTTGAACTTGCATGCTCGACATCCAGATGTGAAGTCAATTAGAGCACATAAAATCAAATTCACACCCAAAAAAAAATTATCTGAAGACCTTAAAAGATAAACTCCTTGTTACATATCATGTACAATAAGAAATTGAAGGATAAAGGCATGAAGAATGATGATGATCCCCTTCTATGTGATAACATGCCATTGAACGACGAATTGTTTTTGGATCATTATTTTGAGATTGCATCTCCTGATTTACAATAATAAGAAATGAACATTGATTTTTTTTTATGGTGATAGAAATAAAGTATGTCCATCTAACACAAGCCAACAACAAAAAAAGAACAAAAAGTAAAAGGTATATGTTAGACAAGTCCATCCGGTCCATACTGGACCGGCTGAACAAAACGGAGGCGGAACTCTTCCGCATCCTGCAGATGCCATGTGAGCCGCCAAAGCAAACAAAGCATTTTAGGAAGGATTTTTTAGGGATTTGGGAGGGAAATTTGAATGTAGAGAATGTTTAGGGATTTCATTTTGATTTGTATGCATTAAATACTTTGTTTTCCTAGGGTTAGGAATTTGGCTGAAATTTGAGATCTACTAAATTTAAGATTTTCTTTGGGCTCTAGCGGCTTCTAGAGATTTGGGAAAGATCAATCCTCCTCTCGAATAGAGGATCAATTGTATCTTGCTATTTTTCATTTCCCTTTCATCAAATAATACAACTTATCTATTGCTTTTGTGATTTTTTGTGGAGAATTCTCGCTGTTTTCCGAAGATTGATAGGAAATACTTGAGATCTACAAGTGTTTCCTATCAAATTGGTATCATAGCTATTTTTGGGACCTTTGGTGGGTTGTTTTGGTGAATTTTAGCGATTGTTCTTGGGATTTCGAAGAAGAAAGTTGCTGTTTTTTAAGGTTGAAGTCCAAATTTTCATTTCTACAAAAAATCTGGGCATCAATGGCGGCCAAGAAAATGAATGTGTTGGAGGAACTCCTCGAAGTGGAGATTGGACAAATGAAAACTTAAATTTCATATTCGAAACTCAAGTTTCAGATTTAAAAAAGGATTTCAGCCATCCATGATAAGTTTGATTCAAAATTTTTCATCTTGGAGGAGATGTTGAAGAAAGCGCTCGAGGGCCAAACCAAAATATTACTGTTGAAGGGGAAGGAAAGCGCCGACAACCAGGGAGATGGTAAAAATCCTAAGCCAATCAGGCAAAGGGGAGATCAGGAGGTGGTGACTTGATAGGGAGACAGTAAGAATTTACCTCTCCTTTGGCCGTATTCACCCCGCCCCCCCCCCCCCCCCCCTTTCCCCCAAGAAAAATTACAAGGGGGGGAGGGCGGGGAGGCAATTTTGGGAGGGGAGGGGGAAGCGGTTTATTGAGGAAGTTAGGGGGCAAGAATGAAGTATGTGCATGATTTGGAGAGGAGATGGGCAAGATTGGAAAAGGAAATGGGTAATTATGACCAAAGGGAGGCTGAATTTAAAAGGAGAGGGGTTTGTTATGATTCAAGGGGTGCTGAATTTGAAAGGAGAAGGTGGAAATTTGATGAAGGGCCTGGGTATGAACATAGAAGGGATGATTGGGTCACTTGGGGGTGGGAAAGAAGAAATTATGAAGGGAACAGAGGTAACGGAGGTGATCTGAGGGTGAGGAAGTTGAAGATGCCTATTTTCGGGAGAGTATGCCCATGAGTGAATCAACAATGTGGAAAGGTACTTTACTGTCAATAGGTTGACGGAGGCGGAGAGATTGATGGCAGTCAGAATGTGCTTGGAAGAGAAAGCTTTAGCATGGTACCAGTGGAGGGATACGGGGCAACTAATAAGGACATGGAGGAAATTTAAGGACTGCCTGTTGGAATATTTTCAAATCAATAGGGGAGGAGACTTCTACGAGCAATTCTTCGCTTTGATGCAAGAGGGGACAATGATGGAGTAACGTGAGCAATTTGAGTACCTCGCCAGTCGAATGGATCGGCTTACAAAGTCTGTACTTGAAAGGAACTTTATGAAGGGACTGAAATCAAATATTCGCGCCGCAGTCAGAGTGATGAGACCTCGGGACTTGAGAGAGTTTATGGAGCTAGCTAAGTTGGAGGAGGATCAGAGGCACCTGGAAAAAAGAGCATGAGGCAGCAGTTCAGGAGGCTCGTACAGGATGACCACCACCTTTTTGGAACCCAAGGAGCCAACACTAGGGGTGTAAACGAGTCGAGTCGAGTCGAGTATTTACCTTATCAAGCCTGGCTCGTTTAACCCTTAATGAGCTCGAGCTCGAGCTCGACTTGTTTAGGAAATACCAAGCTCGAGCTTGACTCGAAAGCTTGAGCTCATTTGAAAAGCTCAAGCTCGATTGAAAAACTGTAGCTGCTAATATGTTTTTATATATATATAATTATATCGAGTAGCTTGATAAGCTTTCAAGTCGAGTCGGGTTGAGCTCGAACTCGAGCTCGTTTATCATGCGAGCTCGATTGTAGGCTCGAGCTCGAAAAGCTCGGCTCGCGAGCTTATTAACGAGTCGAGTTCGAGCTGGCTCACGAGCCGGCTCAGCCCACTTACACCCCTAGCCAACACCGGGTACTCTTAGGGAGACTTCGAAGGAAAAGACTGTCGGAGGAAGACTTGAGGGTAACTTCAAAAAGCTCACAAAAACATAATTACAGGCGAAGAGAGTGAAGGGGATTTGCTTTTGATGTGACGAGAGGTATACGCCGGGGCACAGGTTTAAGGACCGAACTCTTCAGGTTCTCACCGTTTGTGATGAAGAAGTAATGGAAGGGGTGTCGTCTTTCCATCTTGTGAAAAAGGCGAATCTTTGGGAGGGGAGTATTGTTAGACCGGTCCATTGAACCGGTCCAGTATAGATTGGCTCAACGAAATGGAGGCGGAACTCTTCTGCCTCCGGCAGATGCTGAAGCAAACGAAGCATTTTGGGAAGGATTTTTGAGGGATTTGGGAGGAAAATTTGAATGTAGGGACTGTTTAGGGATTTCCTTTTGATTTGCATGCATTAAATAATTTGTTTTCCTAGGGTTAGGCCCGTTAGGGCATCTTGAATTTGGCTTAAATATGAGAGCTCCTAGATTTAGGTTTTTCTTTGGGCTCTAGCATCTTCTAGAGATTTGAGAGAGATCGATCCTCCTCTCAAATAGAGGATCAATTGTATCTTACTATTTTTCGTTTCCCTGTCATCAAATAATACAAATTATCTACTATTTTTGTGCGGATTTTTGTGAAGAAATCTCGCTGTTTTCTGAAGATTGATAGGAAATATTTGAGGTCTATAAATGTTTTCTATCAGTATATAAAGTAATATATCTATTTGAAGTTCTCTTAAAATTAATTAATATTCTTGATTTTGTTAATTGCACCTATTTAGGGAAAAGGAAACTCCAGTGAGAATAAGGTAAGGGAGAAAACTATAAAGATGGCTCCAATGAAGACCCATGAGGACTTTTGATTTATTATTATATTTTTAAGTTGATCTTCAGAAGTTAATGTTGAACAATAGGAAACTATGAATGAAGGATTTGATTTTGTGATAAACTTAGTTAATGTCTAACTTCGATTTAATATTATGTTTATTTTTTAATATTATTATGTTGCTTTTGCTTAATTTTGATATCTTAGGTTATTTTGACAATGTTAATATTTACATTACAGCCCTATTTCATTTGATGATAATTTATAGTCATGATATTAATATATTATTTCTAGTCTTTATTTTAACTTTAAGAAATTTTTGAATTGTGAGGCTTACACTCAAAATGCTTTGAGGCTTATGCTTAGCCTCATCGATAAAAAAACACCTCAATACCCAATTGTGCAATTTTAAATCTTGATGGATAGTATTACTCTATGTAAAGGACATAGTTCATTCAATTTTAGGAAACAGTTGCACACACCCTCAAGTCTCAAGGGCACAATTGTGAAAGTTAAATCACCAACAAAAAGTTGTGTGCAAAGAAGCTACCGATACCTGCACTAGGAACGCATCTGGGCGAGGAATCTTGAAGCGAAGAAACCAAACTAAAATAAAGAATTGTATAACTGCCTTGATTAACAGTGCTAGTGCTCTTGATATCTTGGACAGACCCTGTAAGCGTACAGATGCCTGAAAAACATTGAGTGAGTTACTAAAATAAATTTGAACATTGCCATACATTTTCTTCTGAATAAGAAACAACAATTTTAACGAAAATTTGATTTATGAATGGATACCATCTCATGAATGTGGATATTCTTGTTCTCTATAACATCCACGTAAGGTTGGCTACCTATCAATTCATTCAATGAAAAAAGAGCACTCGGTGAAGATAAGTAATCAACAAATAGATTACAAGAAAGAGGGCCTCGATAGAAATTCAACTACTTTTTCGATGAAGAAAATATAGCTGAATGGCAGGCTTAAAAAACAAATTATACATAAATCATATAGGTAGGCATGCACCTATCCACACTAACCTAATATGCCCCTGGCTACGCGATTTAAAGTACCAGCTTTGCTACATTATATCACCGCACAACTGTGATGTGTGGCCTAGGCGACTATCAGTTAGAAATGTGGCAACAGATATATGAGGAAAATTAAATCACAAAGATTGAAAACAACTGTTGATTGCTACTGCATCAATGTAGAAGATATGGATAACATCAAGGTGGAAGAGGCAATGCAAATCAGGCCAGGAAAATTATAGTGTCAATTTAAGTCAGGAAGGGGGATTCACAAGTTTGAAATTTATATTGACATTCTCAATGGTACTAACTTGATAACCAAATGGAAGTCTAACTAAAACTAAATTCACATTAAGCTATTCGAGCACTAAAGATTCCTTATACCATACTTATCTCAAGGTAAAACTTGTTAGTCCCATTATGATTCACAATCAATACAACCAATAAATATAACTAGTTGAGAAAAGCAACGTAATTACAGTTTGCAAATGGTATGTAATAATGAAATGTTCAAATTAAATTAACAAGCTAGTGATTTGAGTACCACTAACTATCAGTTAGTTAAAAAAAGAAATCATTCTTCATGAAGAGAAAAAATAAAATACCGAACATGTTCACATCTTACCTCCATTAGCAACAATATCCACCTCAAAATGTGCCTGCAATGGAAATTACATAGAGCATCAATAAAGTCCAGGTTACACAAATGGGTATTAAAAAGTATACAAGCAAATCAATAGACGTTGGGAGCTTGGTAAGGATCAAAACTTGTTCAATCACATTATTTTGCCATAGTGCCATGTTGCACACACGTTAGCAATTTGCGGATTAAGCGATATGGAAGATATCAGGTAGAAAGGTATTAATCTCTTGAAATAGAAAAAATATGATATAATCACATATTTTTTAAAAGGATATAAAGTTAGCACATATATTCTATTTAAGATGAAGGGGACACAAGGCCAATCATAGATTTTAAACTCACATCGCGAACAATATAAACCATTCATGTTGCATCCATTAGATCCCAAACTCAAGACTAATACTTTAAAAATTAAAGAGTGAACCATTTGAGTAGAGACGCTTTAGTTGATACAAGCACTCAGATGAAATACATCCAATATGATAGCTAGGGGGAAGCAAGCTTAAAATTTATTATAAACCAGAGAGCAAGCAGTAGAAATACTATAACTCAAAAGGATGTTTCATTCACAATAGCTCAACTTGATATGCGGTGTAATAAATAAGAGAAACAGTCAACTCAATATTAGGGAAATATAAAAATATTTTTGAAGGGATATCAGCCCTTGCCTTCCATTTGGAAGGCTAAAGGCAATAACACAAGAGCTATATTACTCATTCGTAAGAAAAGCTAGAAATAAGGAATGACAAGAGAGGGTCAGTCAACTGAATAATAGGAGAAACTGAAAACGCACCATAAGTTCTGAAAATTTGTTTTAACTACCGATATGTCACCAAAAAACACCTTGATCGGACACAAATCTCGTTGTATATTTAAATTGGAGACTTCAAAAATTAAATTCATGACCATTTGAGCTCTGAGTTCAGCAAACTTATAGTCGAACATAACTTTTTGATATGACAAACCCAACGACACCAAAAGTAGTATAATCCAAGCCCAAATGAGCCCAAATCAAAAGCCTAAAGCACAATTAGAAGTTTCAAGACATTAATTGGATGACCTAATAATATTCAAATTAGGCATGCTTATGATAGAATCGAGCACCTCAATGAGATAAATCTGATGAGCTCAAGATTGCTTAATTTCAACATCATTAAGGCACTTAAATGCTAAAGAAATGATCTATGATCGAGGGAATCAATACGTGTCGTCTAATGAAATGCTCCGAAATATCTCCATATTTACGAGGCATGTCATGGCCAAAAATCTATAAATAGGCCCTCACTGCCTACATGGAGAGACTCTAGGCTAGAGATTCAAGAGATCTTAAAGGCTTAAAAAATCTTGGAGCTCCACCCGAGCATCATTGCCAACAAACTTTCGTCAGCCGACCACCACCATCAAACTACCACCCAATCGTCATCGGCCAATCGCCGTCATCAGACATTCTCCGCTAAACCACCACAGTCGATCCTCAACTTGGCCGCCTCCATAAGACCTTCGCCCAGTCACTGTCGTTAAACCTCCATCAAACGACCATCCACACCAAACTTTCGCCAGCCAATCGCAGTGTCGAAGCTTTCGCAACCCGACCATCGACGTTGAACATCTTCCCGACCTTTGTCGTTAGACCTTGGCTGGCCGACCGCCGTCGTTAGACCTTAACTACCCAACTAATACAGTCGGACCTCTCTTTGGCCAATGGCCACAATTGGACCTCCTCCATCAAACCCATGGTCATTAAGCCCCAAACATCCCTATGGAATCTACCACTATTTCTGTTAATTCTTCAAACTTTGTAATTTTGTTATCTCCAAGGGAATGACCAATCTCTGTAACTAAAGCATATATAGTTGAATCATTTTCAGCTGGGCAAATAAATCCCCCCCCCCTTTTTTTTTGAATTTTTCATGTAAAAAATTTGTGGTGTCATCCAAACTCTTTCACTTATATGTTTGTGTGTTAAATCTTTGTGCAAAACTAGAATGTAAAATTTTCACTTTACTATCTTAACTTCTCTAGCCACAACAACTATATTTTTGAAGTTAAAGATTGGGAAGCCTCTAAATTGCTGTATCTTACCACTTGCAGACATAAATAGAGAAAAAAAATAACTAAAGCTAAGAATAATAGCATCAAAGTCACAAAAGTCACAAAAAATATATTAATAATTAAAAAAAAATTGCACGGGAATTAACACCGCCCCCCTATAAAACAAAAAAGATAACAACAACAACATCAAGCCTTTATCCCACTACGTGGGGTCGGCTACCTGAATCCTTTTCCTCAATTGTGTACTATTAAAAGTCAAATTCTCGTTTAAATCTAATAAAGAAAGGTCATTCCTAATATTTTCTAACCAAGTCTTTTTAAGTCTGCCTCTATCTTTCTTAACATAAGTCAAATTTAATACCTCTACTATCCTAACCGGGTCATCGGAAGGCGGCTATTTTATGTGACCAAACCAACTAAGGCGAATCTCTCTAATCTTAACTTCTACTTGAGCTACTCCAACCTTTTCATGTATATGCTCATTTCGTATTCTATTGCTAAGGGTAAATCAACTCATCCACCTGAGCATCCTCATCTCTGCCACACTTAACTTAGTATTATGCTTCTCTTTTAATAGCCAACATTCGGCACCATAAAGCATTGCAGGCCTCACCACCATCTTATAGAATTTTCCCTTAAGTTTGAGGGGTACTTTTCTATCACACAACAAGCCCGATGCATTCCTCCACTTCAACCATCCAACTTGAATTATGTTGATAATATCCCCATCTACTTCACCATCACTCTGAACAATTGATCCAAGATATCTAAAACGTGTACTCTTCTTAATGACTTGATCGCCCAAAGTCACAATCCCCTCACTAGGTCTATTACTACTAAAATTACACTCCATATATTCTGTTTTAGATCTACTCAAGCAAAAACCTTTAGACTTGAAGGTTGACCTCCATAATTCAAGTTTACCTTCAACTCCCTCTCTAGTCTTATCAACAAGAAGAATATCATCAGCAAAAAGCATACACCAAGGTGCATCCTCTTGCAGAAAAGAAAAAGAAAAAAACCCCAATATTACCCAGAAACATTTTGTGCCATAAAAAATCCAAAATAATTCAGGAAGTCAAAAGACACCTTTAAAATGGGGAAAAAACATTCTTACAAAAGAATTGATTGAGAAGACATTTACATGTGTGGCAAGTGAAAGGGCATGGTATTGCATTCGAGGACTCCGCCCAATGTCACCTAGAACCACAATAGCAACCCTATACCTCTTCTCCATCATTACCTGGTCAAAAACGAAAATATTAAAACAGACATAGATTAATAAAAAAACAAAGGCAAGTGCATGGAAACAACAAAGAACTCTGGCAGAAATCACCCAGTTAATCAACCAGGTAGTATTTCGCAACCATCGAATTCACATAGCAACTTTAGGCTCCATTTGGCTTGGTGAAATTGAAAAAGAGGAAATGAAATGGAAATGATAAAGGAATTAAATTGAAAATATCTTTATTTACATGTATGGTGGAGAAATCGAGCAAAACTTATTTTTCCATGCTTGATGAGAATTTGAGTTTTTATTTCTAGTGTGGAAACAGGAATCATAACAATGAATTTTTCTTGGGTAATTAACAAAGCAAAAATGTATTTATTCACATTTCCTAAATCCAATTAATAGTTAATTAAACTGGAATCAAATATCCAATATGTAATCGTGAAATAAAATGCATTGCAATCCCTTCATATAATGCAAAAGAAATAGAAAATTGCAATAGCCAATGCTGCAACAATGAGGCGGGTCGATTGGAACCGGGATCGGAGGAGACGTGGGTGATTTAAGGGCTTTTTTCTATTACACCATTCATCTCAAGAAAGATTCAAACCTCCACCAACGGTAATAATAAATATAAAAATTTTTGAGAAAACCTTTAAAGTCACACTGAACTCTTAACACAAACATGATGACATACTACTTCAATAAATTAATAATTCAAATAAAATATGATGGATGCATAGAAATAATAATTTTATGTACTTTTATTTTGGTTGATCAATCAAGACTATGAGCAACAAAAAAAAAATTTAAATACAAATTTATTTGAGGAGTATAACTTTATTTTACCATATTTGATTTTGTATTTATGTCTTTTTTGTGAAATTGTAAACTAACACATGACCAAGATTATCATATAATTTCAACATTATTTTAGAAAAATATCAACTTCACAAGTGAGATAAGAAATTCCTAATTCTTTTATAAGTACAAGGAAAGCAAAATTTCATTGAATGTTTCGTATTCTTATTTCTTTACATATTTTCTTTCACATGGTATGGAAAATTTACTTTTACATGACTCCTTTTTAACAATAAAATGACAGAATTAATATTAAAATTATTACGTGCAAGAAACTAAGTTTTAGGTTCATAAAATTTTCTATATCATCGAATAAAAATTTTTAAAACTATGGGAGCGAGTTATGGAGCATAGGTTGCGGCGTGATACTAATGTTTCTCAAAATCAATTTGGATTCATGCCGGGTAGGTCGTCTATGGAAGCCATATATTTATTAAGAGATTTGATGGAGAAATATAGAGATAATAAGGAGGAACTACATATGATATTTATTGATTTAGAAAAAGCATATGATAAAGTTCCAAGAGAAGTGCTATGGAGAGTTCTTGAAAAGAAAGGAGTTAATAATGCTTATATTCAAATCATTAAATATATGTATGCAGGAGGTATTACTTGTGTTCAAACACAAGGTGGTTTGATCAAGTATTTCCCTATTTCGGTTGGGTTACATCAAGTATCATCCTTAAGCCCATATCTTTTTGCTTTAGTCATGGATGTTCTCACTAGACATTTGCAAGAGGATGTACCTTGTTGTATGCTTTTTGCTTATGATATTCTTCTTGTTGATAAGACTAGAGAGGGAGTTGAAAGTAAACTTGAATTATGGAGGTCAACATTAGGGACTAAAGTTTTTCACTTGAGTAGATCTAAAACAGAATATATAGAGTGTAATTTAAGTAGTAATAGACCTAGTGAGGGGATTGTTGTTGACCTCTGTGTAAAGCACAAAAGAAACAAAAAAAAAAAATCAAACCTTGTATCCGCAAATCCGGCCAGATTCCGTGATTTCAGCCGAGGTTTCGCATACCTCGGATTGTCGAACTCGTAAATCCCGTTGCAACCGCGAATTCAGCTGAAATCGGCGCCGTTTGCGTCATTTCCCGAAACTCCTGCGTGAATCCTGCGATCCGTAGCTCCATCCTCTTCGTTAAATACCGATCCCGGCTCAGCTCTTCTCCTTTCACGAACTGCTGCTCGACTCTCTCCCATTCGCCACACTCAACTCCCGATCCCTCTCCCACTGTCGAAGCTCTCGGTTCATTCTTTCCCTCTCATCGTCAAACCGACGAACGCCTCCTACCTCCCTGCCGACCCGACGCCGGAAGCCTCGGTCCCGTCGGCCACTTCATTCGACACCAAATCTGAGCTCCGATCTTCCCTACCCGAAGCCGAACTCATCCCATTCACCCGCCTCCTTCTTCCTCTGTCCGATCCCTCCTCCGATCAAACCCCGATTCCTCCGCAGAGAGAGAGAGAGAGAGAGAGAGAGAGAGAGAGAGGAGATCCCTACCTCATCCCTTGCTGTCCGACTTTGCTCCCTCAACGACGTTCCCTTCTTGTCGTTTTAGAAGTTACGACATTTTAATTGGAAGTAACGACAGGAGCTTGCTCGTTTTGAAGGTAACTTTCTCCCCTCTGCTCGCTGCTTCGGCCAAGTCCCGTAAAAATGCCCAAACAGAGAGCTTGATGGGGGAGGGAGGGGTTTTATTTTTATTATAATTATTATAATTGTTTTAAAATTAATTAAAATCATATTAGTTATAATTAAATTAATTTAGTTATAATTAATTATCATAATGTTAATTAATTATTATTAATTATATTTAAATATAATTAATTATTTATATTTAATTACTTTAATTATAATTAATTAATGAATAATTATAATCATTTATCCGGAAAACCAACTCATGCACGCTTTTCTCTAGCGTGGTGGGAAGGGAACCCGGTGCGACGCCTACGGCGAGGCGGGGTAAATTTTAAAATTGCTTTTTTGAACTGATGCCCGCAACCCATGCACGCCTTTCTCTGGCATGGTGGGGAATAAAATATTACGGCCGCGGTATCCTCGTCTGAGGGCACCTACCGTGCACGCTTTTCTCTAGCGTGGCAGGAGGCCCAGTTTTCCGTAGTTTTCCCCTAAACGGGGGAGACGCCGGAAGGCTGCCGAAATTTCGGGTAAACGCAAAATCGTACTTGGGACAATTTGGAGCTTTACTTGAGCATTGATTGGAGCATCAAATTGACTTAATCCAAACTTAAACAATCAATAATAACTTCAACTTGAATGCAAACGAAAGAAAAGAACGGCTCGAACTCAAGTGAACTGCAGGGGACTATTGGAACTTGAATGAACATGAACTTGGATTCTCATTTGAGCTTGCAACAAATGACTTAATTTGAACTTAAACTTGAACATGAGCTTGAGCTTGAACTCAAGCAAGAACTTGATTGAGCTCAGACTTGGACAGAATTTGGACAAATTGAACAAGAACTCAAATCAAAACTAGAACTTGAAATGAGCAAAGACATAACTTTGACTTTTAAACTCAAACAAAGATTTGAGTTGGACTACAGTTGACACTGAACTTGAACTATACAATATCAAGGAGAACACGAGCTCGACTTGAACCATAAAAGACTTGGATCAATCTTAAACTTGCAAGTGGCGCAATGTAACTACAAGAGACTCGGAGTTGAACTTGGTTTGGATCGAAGAGGAAGTTAAAATCTATTTGAACAGTTTAAGTGGGCAATCCAAGTTTGAACTTGAATCACAAGAGAAGAAATATACTCAAATGTCCAAATTAAAATAATAACTTCTATAAGTTATATACAAATGAAAGCAGAGCTTATGGTGAATAAGGAGCTTCTAAACAAACAACAAGATCAGAGTCAATCATATTTCTTCATTACAATCTGTATGAAGTATACGATATCCCCCTAAAACATCCACTTGCAAGCATTGATAAAAGCCTATATTGTCTTAAAGAAGCATGCAATAGTTGCTAGAAGAATTGAAAGAGGCATAGGCAAATACACCAAACCCCAATAGGTCACGAGGGTTAGCATGTAATGGTGGCACAAATGTTCTCACAGTCAATATGAAAAGTTGGAGCAATGACGAATACAACTAGACCAAGGATCAATAGTGATATGCAAGCAAATATTTCGGTCTCCAACAAAATTGGGAGGACTGGTGTGCAGCAAACATATATTTGTATGATGATGATAATCAACAGTAGATAATAAATGTTGCAACATGGCTGCAATCAATAATTAATCAATGGTTGAAAGATACATTGATCCGCTATAAGCAAAGACAAAAGATATGTAGTGAATGTCGACTCCTATGAGTCCTCGTAGAAGATCATGTCGTACACCCGATGTGATGATCACAAACAAATTTCAAAAGATCACAACAAATGCAAGAACCTACGAGTAAGGCATGAGATTAGTTAGTGCACTACAATCCACCTGCTAAAATCAACAAATAGTGCACGACAGTCTACCTGTACGAAGCAGTGAATAACTCTATTCAGAAGTAGCTACGCCACGCCACCGGATCTGCAACCCTTGTACAAGCAGACAGAAGGCGTCAACAAAGTCTGAAATAAATACCCTTGCACGTGCACTAAAAATTGTATACACATAGGTACACTAAAGGGGAAAGTACAATCTCAACCCGCATGGGCCCCGGCGAGTGTGTTATTGGTACACACATGACGTCTAGGGATGCTGCGCCGGTTGATAAGTGAATTCAAGTTCGAAACCGATCCTTCTATATGGGTCTATAGAAGTCGACAGGGTTCGAACCAACAAACAAATATACAGTTGTGGCGATCGTTATATTTGTCTTAATACATTCATATTAGGCCTTCAAGGTCTACAATCAAGAGAATTCACTAACAATGGCACAAAGCCTACGAAACCCGATCCTCTGTCGACAGTCCGACAGAGTTGACAATGTTCAATCTATAAAGAGAAATGACCCCAAACACCCCGATGATGGCCGTGTTGAATGCAGATCTCAACCGGAGGGGTTCCCAAACATTAATGGCGTTAAATCCTTGAGATATGAATCAATAGGATATGATTGATAGGGTACAAAGCCCTTTGTTAGCTAAGGTGGATTCAAATTTATCCCCTTA